CAGCCAGCCTCCTTATTCGCCAATCTTCCTCAATTCTCGTAACCTCCCTTCCCAAAATTATCAATCATTAATCGTTTTCTCCAATATTCTCATCTTCCCAAAAATCCACCAACGTCTCTAATCCACCAACGTTCTCCAAATCAACCCTTAAATACTCAGCCAAGAAGGTGAAGCATCCACCCCCAGCCTTCTATTTTCATTCCTTCGATTGATAAAATCAACCCCAGTTCGCCTCAATCCCAGTTCGCCTCCGGTGGTTCCACTCCGGCGCTCCCCTGGTTCCGAGAATCCCCTGCCCCTGGTTCCGAGAATCCCAATTCCGACTTGATTCCGTCTCTCCGTGGTTTGGAAATCGGTAAGAATTTCCTGTCCCTAGCTGTCTCGGAGAATGGTCGAATGGGAATTGCTAATTGAGTTTGGAAATTGGATGGCTAATTGAGTTTGGAAGTTTGATTTGGAGATGGGAGAGGAGACTCTGTTCTCCTGATACTCTGCTTCTTGAGTTTGGCCGAAGGGAATTTTTTGTTTTTTGGTTTTTTTTTTTTACAACAGGCCCTTGCCAGCCGAAGGGAATTGGGAGAAATGGGCCAAGCTTGAATGGCAATGGGCCATTATTAACCTATTTCTAATTTTCTATTACTTGTTGTAGTGGGCCATTATTAACCTATTTCTATTAACCTAGTTTCCCAAGTGGTTGTTCTTCTGCTGGATTTTAGTATCAAGTTTTGTTCTTGATATTTGAATTTGCTTCAATGTGGCAGGTTTCAGAGGGCAAAGCCGAGTGTCTCATTCTAACAATTTTTTTTTTATTTTTTTTTTGCAGGGATTTGTCTTGATTGCCTATTGGGATTATGTCATCTAGAAAATTTGAGAATAACTTCTTGGAGGATGCAAAGATGGAAGAACTAATAGAGGATTTTATTTCAAATAATACTAGACGGTTGTTACTTTTCAAACAATGATCGATAATATTATCCCTATTGTAATAATTTTCTGAAGTTATGTATTTTTTATAATTATTTTATAAATTTTATTTACAATAAATTTGTGAAAAAAAAATTTAGGGCCACATTTTTTATTTTCGAACAGGGCCCCCGAATATAATGGGCCGGCCCTGAGCACATGCCCTCGGCACAAGATGTAAATAAAACAACAACAAATTAATTCCCACCACAAATGGCAATTTGTTCTAATTGATGAGAGATCGATCAAGCATGTAAACAGCATAAGGAGAAAAGAAGCTACGAATGGTGGACTTGCCTTGCCAGCAGTTGAACCATCCCACTTCTAACCCCAAAAAATAAAATAAAAAATCAAAGATAGAAGGACTGTAGGTGAGAGAGTTGAAGAAACTAACATTGCCAGCAATTGAACCGTCGACATACTTATCCCCTTCCTTCTACAGCCCAACGTCGTCGCCGCCGCCGGAGATCGTCACTTTACTTCCTTTGCGCGAAGTTCAGCAACAGCGGGAGATAAAAGTCAGAACAAGAAAATGGAAGAAGACGGGTTGGATCCAGTCCTTAAACTTCATTGTTTCAGGAGGTTCTTAAACCATTTTTATTGGTTGATACTAGATTAGGTAGTTAATGAGGGGTTAGTAGTTAACAGTTAGTTGGAATAAATAAGATATTATGAAAATATAATTAATATTACTCATTAATGATTCTCTTTCTCTCTCCCCCTTATCTTCTCCATAACCCACTCTCTCCACTACAATTAAAAAAAATTCGAAATTAATTTAATTAAATATTATTATTTAATATTTAAAAAATTCGAACTTAATATTTTTTATTTTTTAAAATGAAAATTGAAAATTAAAAATATATGCTCTCACTTCGTGACAACTTGCAATACAATATTAACATTTTGCAATCACATTATCAACATTTATGAAATGAATCGTTATTATTATACCTCATCATTATTAACGACTTCAATATACTTATCAATTCCTTACAATTACATTATTAACAATTTTGGATCAATTGTTACTGTTTTATAGTTTCGTGATCAACGCCTATGAATGAATCATTAAAGTTATGTAACATAGTCATTAATAGTTTGAATAACAATATCATTGATTTACAACATCTTTATTACTAATGATTCACATTTTCACATCATATTTATAACTATCTAGTCATGGCCTCTTCCAATGATTTCTAATGACCTTATTAACGTTTTATGATCAATTAATATTGCTTTACATTATCATTCTCAATGATCATAAAGCACAATACTGATTTTCAACATCTTGGGTACTTGTGACATAGTGCACATGTGTGATCCAGTCAAACAAACATTGTCCAGAAAAATATTAGCTCAAGCAAACCAACATTCACGCCTCAACACCAAACTTTTAATAACAATACAATAAATCATTGATAACGAAAAGTATTTCGTTGAAAGTAAACACAAAACATCAATGTAAAAATGTCCGACTTCAATATTATAAATGACATCAAACTTTTAATAAAGATATTAAAAACCATTAATATCGAATGATTAAGTCAATAATAAGGAAATAGATTTTTGTAATAAAAAATATTAATAATATTCCGATGCAATGTTTAATGTCAAATAGCACTAAAAACGCATTAATAAGTAACATGTGTTTAATGGATAATGCATCCAAAAACTTTGATAATGATAGCAACTAATGATTGTTAAGTACCTTATGAGATATTATTAATATCTTATTTTCAAACATTAATAATGCTTATACACGCCTATTAATAATGACACCAACTACGTTACTAACTTAGACTGAAAGATTAATAACCATAGTTATATAATTAAACGTAAATTCACTTTTGATAATGTCATAAAAAAACGAATATCTAACAATTTTGCTTCTTGATAATGACAAAGTTACAAACATAAACGAAAAAATATTAATAATTCAAATCACTAAACTAAAGCAATCTTACAAATGAAATAAATTTTTGCTAATGGTTGTATTGTGCTTGGAAAAAAAAACATTGATAATAGCACTTCAAATGATTATAAATCATTGTGAACCAAATTTATAATACGATGTAATAGTAAATAAACTTCAAGTACCAACAAATTGAAAACACAATTTCACTTTTGCTAATGTTACAAACAAAACATAACATAAAAAGTTAATAATGTTATATAAAATGATTAAAAAACATGTCGAACAACATTAATAATAACACAAATGAATACCTAACAACAAAAAATCTCAAACCCATGCAATGAAAAGCCCTAATGATGATTCAATTTATAAATATTGATAATGTCATTACAAAATGTTAATACTTAATACTAATCGGAAGTTGCCAAGATGTGAGAGAGGCATATATTTGAAATTTCAAATTTCCATTTTAGAAAATGAAAATTATTAAATTCGGATTTTATTAAACATTAAATAAAAATTAATTTCATATTTATTTTTAATTATAATGTAGAGAGGGTTGGAGAAAATCATGGGAGGAGAGAGAAAGATAATCATTAATTAATTATATTTGCATAATCCTATTTATCCTTAACTACCTATTAACTACCAACCCCCATTAACTATCTAATTCACTATCAGCCAATAAAAAGGCTTTAAGATTTTCCTTAAGAAATGAGGCTTAAGGACTTGAACTCAAGCCGGCCAGGGACACAACGGGAAGAGAAAAGGGGCAAAACTAGTTAAATTGTAAATAACAGTTCCTCCCCCTGTCATTTCAATTACCGCGTTTATGCGGTATTTGTAATTAACCTGTACCCAAAGAATACTACAGCTCAATAAAACATTGTAGAACAAGTTATTTAAGCCCAAATAACTCATTGTGAATTATTTTGATTCAAATAACCCATCCAATAAATCCATCCAATCGACCCCGAAATCCAAAACATATTCATTTCGCATAAATATTTAATTTTCATTGACGCATATAAATATGAAGCTCACAATAAAACTAAATATTTTTATAGTTTGTTAGAGTTGTGTTTGTTGAATACATGTATTGTGCACAATACAATGTTTGGAAGTGTCAAAATGTAAAACAATGCATGCATTGTAACATTGTTTTAGGTAGGTCCCATCAACAATCACAAAAAAATGATGCATTATACAATCTCAACTAAAAGTTGAGATTGTTGTGATTGTTACTTTTAGATTTGTGTCTACTTTTTCTTTCCATTTATATCCCTAATAGTTTTTGTCTTATACTAAAAGTTGAGGGTAAATATGACATTTCCCCATAAATATGACCCCGAAATCCAAAACATATTCATTTCGCATAAATATTTAATTTTCATTGACACATATAAATATGAAGCTCACAATAAAACTAAATATGTTTCTAGTTTGTTGGAGTTGTGTTTGTTGAATACATGTATTGTGCACAATACAATGTTTGGAAGTGTCAAAATGTAAAACAATGCATGCATTGTTTTAGGTAGGTCCCATCAACAATCACAAAAAATGATACATTATACAATCTCAACTAAAAGTTGAGATTGTTGTGATTGTTACTTTTAGATTTGTGTCTACTTTTTCTTTCCATTTATTTCCCTAATAGTTTTTGTCTTATACTAAAAGTTGAGGGTAAATATGACATTTCCCCATAAAAGTAACTTTATGTAAATCAATGCATAAAGTAGATACTCAACAACCAAACAATGTATTGTTAAAATACATCTATTGTATCAATACATATATTTATAGAGCACTTCTACTATGCTATATAGTATTGGTGCTTTAATGTACAAATTAAAGTTGTACCATAACATTAAATGTATAAGTTTAGGTTGTACCATAAAGCAATTTGTACCATTGTGTTATGGTACAACTTTACAACTTGAAGTTGTACCATCACATAAAGATACAAGTTCAAGTTGTACCATAAAAGAATTTGTACAAAAAGTATAGGTACAATCTAAAGTTGTACCATAACGTAAATGTACAATTTTAAGTTGTACCATAAAGGCAAAATCCTATAGCACCAATACTATATAGAATTGTAAAATTTCTCATATTTATATTATGGTAATTCATTACAATGCAACGATTTAACATTCGCAACTTTCAAAGCAACTCAGCAAACAAAGCTGACGAAAACTATAGGACCCGCAGCCCGCATGAAGAAATCAAAGGAAAGAGCAAACAAAGACGTTCGGTCAATCATCAAGATCTAACTTCACAAGTCAGCAAAGTCAAGCTTATGCTGCTACAGCCTACAGCCATGATTCATATCACGTGCTGTGATTCTCCTGTAACAGTATTTTATATGCGATTCAACCATTGCCCAGTTTTCTTACCAACCCTACTATTCTTCCCTCTCCTCATTCAACCACTCACCAAATCCAATGGTGGAAGTAATCCGATTTCATAGACCAAAGATGCAACCAAGATTTAAGTCATCAAACCAAATTAAACCAAGTGAGGACAAAAGTGCTTTTAGCAAATAAAGGGAAACAAGAGTGTTACCACTTACCAGTAGAATGGCGTAGCTTAGCTGGAATGGGAAGGTGGTGAAAATGATGAGAGATGAGATGACAAGGAAAGGAAAGGAAGGGGCAAAAATGACGGTGATATCAAGGTGGCGTGAATAGCGACTTTGGCTCGTTAGCTCTATGTACATTGTACCAACATAGGTGGACCCAAATAAACAAACTATAGCCATTTTAGTGATTTTGTTGGCCCTTTCTTCTTCGTCTTGGTGTTGATGGTGGTACCAAACAACCTCCACCTTCCAGCAACGTTTCCCCTGCCGTCCTCTGTCGTTTTGCTTCATTGCGTTTCTCTCTTTGATCGCGGTGTAAATACCACGCTGACCCATCGCTTTCACTCAACTTACTGAAATATATTGCAGCAATGGGGAAAGCATATTGTGGTAGCTTCATGGTCATGGGTATGCAATGTAAACCCCTTCTCTGCACCTACATTTTCTGGCTTCTTATTTACTTTGTTCTGTTCTTCATCTTCTTCCTTCTTTTCTTTGAAATTGCTGTGGGATTTGATATGGAGGCCTCAGCCATGTAGGAAAGCTTCCAACTTTGCCTTCTTTCTGTTCAAAAACAGGAACGAGAGAGTTCCTTTTTGATCCGTTTCTGTGTTTTTCTTTCCCTTTTTCCCCTTCTGCGGATCCCATTTACTGGGGCTAGTATGGATTACGGGTTTTGGCTTTGAATGCCGGCCGATACGAGTTAACTGGGAGAAACGGGCTGCTAGGGGATTGAAATTGGATAGATACTCTTTTTTTGTCTTATGGGGTTGTAACGTTTGGAGAGAATGAGAGCTACTACATTTACAGCATGGGGTCAAAGGTCTTTGTTTGAAACCGAGTAGACTTTGGGTCTCAAGGTTTCTCTCTAGATCAGCTTAAAGATCATTTTCGTTTCTAGCTTTCCCACATTTAGATCCTGGGTTGCCGGCTGTGGGAAGTAGGAACCCGAATTACATTAGTAGAGATTTTGTTTTTATCGAGTGATGTGCGCAGTTTCGTAGTTTCTGGCCTGATTGATTTTGGTACCTGTTATTTTCTGAAACCTGGGTTGTTTCAGGTTTGGAAAATAATTTTTTGAACATGAAGAGGAGGGTGAGCTGATGCAGGTAGTCAGACAAGCAAAGGAGGCCTGTATTTCTGAAGTCGGAGAGCCATCCATTTGATTCAAGATGCAAATGGCTTCCAGTGGAAACACTATTGAAGGAGCTGATTTGAAAGGTATGATGCAGGTTCTGGATGAGAAATTTGATCAGTCCATGGGTGCAGAGGCTGGAAGACTGAGAATAAATAAGAATGATGGGAAGGTAGTTATTCTTTGCCGTCTGTTTTCTACATGAACAGGTTTAGTTGCCGTTAGAGTTTGATCATAATATTGTTGATTTCATGATCGATAATGTTAAGTACCCGGTAGCTAATGGTGATTCGGTTTTGTTTCTTCAGAAACACTCCACTTCACTGGTTTTGTGGCTTGCATTCCAAAGCCTTGGAGTTGTCTATGGGGATTTAGGCACTTCTCCTTTGTATGTCTTCTACAACACCTTCTCCGACGGAATCAAAGATCCTGAGGACGTGATCGGAGCTTTATCATTGATCATATACTCCCTCACTCTTGTTCCGCTGATAAAGTATATCCTTATCGTGTGTCAAGCAAATGACAATGGCCAAGGTAGGTTGTACTAAATGTCTTCTGTGGAATTTGCAATAAATTTGAGATGTACTGAAATGTTGGGAACTGTTACACCTCTATCTGGACGATTCATAGCACCAGTGCCAACTTCAAAGTTTACAATCTCCTCTGTTAATTGGCAATGGCATAGTACCAAATAAGTGAAAATGATGAATAACGATCACTTGTGTGTATAGTTTTTAGAGATAAATCATATAAGCTTTCCTAATTGACTTGAAGTGTATTGATGTTGAGTTATGTCTATGAAGCATATATAGTAAGGCTCTTAGTTGGAGAGAACAGAAGCATATCTTTCTGAAGTGGATGTATTGATATGCGTGCTTTTCCATTTGTTTTACGAGACTATGTCAGCTTTCCTTTTACGCTTATGATTGTTATGGAACAGGTGGAACATTTGCTCTCTATTCACTCTTGTGTCGTCATGCAAACGTAAAGACTATTCCTAACCTAGACCACACAGATGAGGAGCTAACAACATTTAGTCGTTCCAAAATTCATGAAAAGCCATATGCTGCCAAGACCAAGAGATGGTTGGAGGAAAAATCATCCCGTAAGAATGCGTTGCTTGTTCTTGTGCTTGTTGGCTCGTCAATGGTTATTGGGGATGGGATTCTTACCCCAGCTATATCAGGTATTCTATTTTCCAATATTATGATGAGTGTACTATTTGTTTTATGTATTTCAGCATATTTGATAGGCAGGTGCTTAAGTTAGCTCCTTTTGTTATCGTTGGCAGTGCTCTCAGCAGTCCAAGGAATCAGATTAGACTGCCCCCACATGAGTAATGGTATCTCTCCACTGAACCATTTTGCCATTACTGTCAACCACTTTGCTTTCTATCCAAGTAGCTTTTTTTCACTTTAATTCTAACACTGGCTTTGTTTTGTTTTGAACAGGTGCAGTCGTCCTTGTTGCCGTCATAATTCTAGTAGGCTTGTTTTGTGCACAATACCGGGGGATAGATAATGTTGGTTCGGTCTTTGCCCCAGTGGTCTTCATTTGGTTCCTCCTAATTGGAGGTATTGGTATATTCAACATATGGAAATATGGGACAGTTGTCCTGAAAGCGTTTTCACCAGTTTATATATACCACTACTTCAGGAAGGGAGGGAGAAGTGCTTGGCTCTCCCTCGGAGGTATTATGCTCAGTATAACAGGTGAATTTTCTTCATCTTCCCCTTTTAGTGATTCACAAAGCTAAGATGTAGTGAAAATAGGTCAACCCCATTCTGATGGTTATTTGCATACTGTTGCAGGCACAGAAGCTCTTTTTGCTGACCTATCGCATTTCCCAGTTTTAGCTATTCAGATTGCATTTACAGCCGTAGTTTTCCCATCGCTTCTGCTTGCCTACACTGGTCAGGCTGCCTACCTCTTGAAGAACCCCGATCACGTATTTGATGCATTTTATCGATCCATTCCAGGTCTGTAATGGTTCTAGCTGCCATACTCGAGTTTCCTTGGGTTAGTGCCACAAGAAGTGGATCTGGATTGCAAAGTTGGTGGAACTGACAAATGATTCTCTTATACCTTATATAAAACACTTAAAGAAATTACTGTCCTATGTTTTCCTTTTTGGGCTGCAATTCTGTACTTTAGAACTTGTATCTGGAGTCTCATTTCCAAATGGTACCAAAAACCAATGAAAGCATGCGGCGAGATTTTGAAGAGAAAGGAGATATAGGAAGTCATGAAAGTGTTCTTTCTAATGAATTTCTAGTCCCTCATGGTTTATTTTATTACTTCTGCAGCGAGCATCCACTGGCCGGTGCTCATCATTGCAACAGCAGCTGCAGTTGTTGCTAGCCAAGCCACCATATCTGCTACATTTTCCTTAATTAAGCAAGCCCTTGCACTCAGCTGCTTCCCAAGAGTCAAAGTTGTGCACACATCAAAAGAGTTCAAGAGGCGGATATACATTCCAGACATTAACTGGATCCTCATGATCCTATGCATTGCTGTGACTGTCGGATTCAAGAATCAAACCCAAATAGGAAATGCTTCTGGTAAGATCAAGATCCTGTTGCTTCCTGCTAACTGTCAAAATGATTTTTGTGGAATATGTATAACATAATAAAAAAGTTCGTCTGAAATTTATGAATTGACTGTCATAATAATAGGTACGGCAGTGGTGATAGTGATGCTGGTGACAACATTGTTAATGACATTGATCATGATATTAGTGTGGCGCTGCCATTGGCTTCTCGTCCTCATCTTCACTGCTCTATCCCTTGTTGTGGAAGTCACCTACTTCTCATCCGTGCTCTGCAAGGTCAATCAAGGCGGGTGGGTCCCACTCGTCATTGCAGCGTCATTCTTCATCATCATGTATGTCTGGCACTATGGCACCATGAAACGCTACGAGTTTGAGATGCACAGCAAGGTATCAACCGCGTGGATCCTTGGTCTAGGGCCCAGCTTGGGTCTTGTCCGTGTCCCTGGCATTGGCTTGGTATACACGGAACTACCTAGAGGGATCCCACACATCTTCTCCCACTTCATCACCAACCTGCCAGCCATCCATTCCGTCGTCATTTTCGCCTGTGTGAAGTACCTTCCTGTTCATACCGTCCCCCAAGAAGAGCGGTTCCTTATCAGGAGGATAGGGCCAAAGGCCTTCCACATGTTCCGATGTGTCGCCAGATATGGTTACAGAGACCTACACAGAAAAGATGAGGAGTTCGAGAGGAAGCTGTTCGATAGCCTCGTGGCATTCGTTCGCCTCGAGTACATGATGGAAGATTGTTCCGACTCGGATGATGATTACAGCATTTGCGATGATCAGGGAAGTGACAACAAGTCGACTGCAAACTGCGATGGAGCCACATTCTCTTCTGCCGACACGATCATTGCAGTGGGTTGTTCTGGAGCCAGCGACGCCATCATTAGGGCAGCAAGTAGCGGAATGCAGATCGACGAGGTGGAGTTTCTGCAGATGTCCAGGGATGCGGGGGTGGTCCACATTCTTGGGAACACAGTGGTAAGAGCGAGCGGTGGTTCCAAGTTGTGCAAGAGGATAGCCATTAACTATGTATATGCTTTTCTTAGGAAGATCTGCAGACAGAGCAGTGCGCTTCTTAATGTCCCTCATGAAAGTCTCCTCAACGTTGGGCAAATTGTTCATGTCTGAAGATCCTTCACGTGGCATGTTCTTCTTGTTGTTAGTTATGAAGGCTTTGGGGAGACTTTTGGAAGTGTCCTTGAACTAGTTTCATTTTAACTGGTAAATGAAATGAATGTAGTTAGTTAATGGTAAACCAGCCACGTGCTTTGACCTAAACATTGTTTCTAGCCGGTATGAAATTATGTAACCTAATCAAAGGGAGCCAAATCAAGTTGGTATGGTCAAAACTATCGTCCCTCACAAACAAGAACAACAGAATTTTACCCACTAGTCTAAAAGCAACTGCGTGCCCAAAATTCCCAGTCAGTCTTGGTTAGGCACCATGGTTGTCACGCCGGCCGGCGTGCCACTGGTTGAACCTGGTTCAACCGATACCGGTCATAAAATCGGCGTGACATCACCGGTATGATCGGGATGATCGATATATGAATCTCTAAATAAAATTACCTTATTTTAGTGATTTTAATTGATAAAATTATTTTATTATTTATTTTATGAGTATAAAAGTTAAATATTGATATTATCTGTTGGATTCAAGTATAAATGTTTAGGTATTGATGTTAAATGTTATGTTTAAATATGAGTATTTATAATTTTATTTGTAATATTACCCGACATGCCCAGACACAAACCGGTATATGCCACCGATCGAACCATTCCACTTGCCAAACCGGCACACTAGCATAAACCGGTTTGACAACCTTGTTAGTCACACACCTGGGAATATTGCTACAAGGCTTGGTTCAAATTCAACCGTTCTGTACAAGTCTATGTCCACTCTCTTTACGTGCATGAGACAAGAATTTATTTCCACTTTCCCTTGCACCTGTTCACAGGGATCGTCAGAAGGATGAGTTATGGTCACAATTCGATTCACAACTCACTTCCTAACCATTGGATACGCTTTCTCTCTTATCTCTCTCTTATTTTTTTCAAATTGATGGTTAAGATTAAATGAAGGGTATTTTCGGAATGAAAAAACTTACCACATAATTACATTTCCTATTTTCTATATAAACCTTCTTTATTAACAAAAAAAAAATACTCTCTCCCCTCCTCTCACGTTCTCTCCCTCGTCTCTCCCCTCTCTCTTCTCTCCCACAAAAAACCATAATCGTGCTGTCACTGTCTCCCTCAGTCTCTCCAGCCGCCGCCGCCGCCTCCTCTACATCTCTTCATGCCGCCGCCACCACCTCCCACTACCTCCGACCATGGCGCAACCTCCACCTCCCGCTGCCACCGCCACCCACCACCACCACCAAACTGCATCTGCCTCCCCTTTTCTCCGCCTCCCACCTTCTGTCTTCACGTCGTCGGCGTGAGGTCACCGTCTGTCCGCTGCCTTCCTCTCATCTCCTGATTTTTTTTTTTCAGATTTGGAATTCTTTAAATTCCATATCTGGTTTTTTTTTGTCATTCTCTAGTGGTACGTACCAATGACTAGTGATAGTTTTTGCGTAATAGTAGTGTTAGTGGTACGCTACCACTACCATGTACCAAATGATAGTGGTACGCTACCACTACCATGTACCAAATGATAGTGGTACGCTACCACTACCAGGTACCGGATGGTACTGGTACCAAATGGTACTGATACGCTACCACTAGCTCTGGACTGGTAGTAGTAGCTTAAAACTAGCGCACTGATGGAGTGATATTTTTTTGCAGGTGGTCGGAGCGAGTCTGATTCAAGGATTTCGCCGGAGAAAGTCTGTCGATCGGAAAGTCAGCCGGTCGGAGTAGAGTGGCTGCTAGAAAAGGAAGAGAGAGATTGAAAGAGAGAGTTGTGTTTATTGTAGGATTTAAATTTTAAAAAAAACATGTATTTAATATGGGTTTTTTATTCCCAATTTGTAATTAATACAAAAAATAATTAATAAATTCATTTTTTTTCATGCCCAAAATACCCTTGATTGTGAATCTCACAACCCGCTTGGGGGAAGTGACCATATCCCACCCCATCATCATATTGTAGTTCTAAATGACTGAGAGACGGTGGAAAAAAAGCCCAGGTACATGTCTTTTTTTTTGTCAAAAGATATCAAATATTGATTCAAAAAAATAGATAGTTACATCGTGGAAACCAGTCAGGCCCGGAAATCAAAAAAGCGACTCATAATCGGATACAAAAAGAGGGTTTTTCTAGCTACCGAATGAGCTACCCTATTGTTCTCCCTACCTACAAAACGCACACTAAAACTAGACTGGGTGCATAAATAATAACCTATCTCTTCCAGAACAACACCCAACCAGTTATCTCTTGTGTCGACTTGATTAATTTTGTCAATAATCAATGCCCAGGTACATGTCTATAGCAAAGAAAGAGTATGATCATTAACTACATCACCTGTATGAACTCAACCCAAAACTGAAAAACAATAGGCTGTTAGAAGGACGGTACTCGTGTTTATGAACACATAATCACAACAACAAAAAGTTACATTTAAAAGACTCCCCTTTATGAACAACGAGGACCCAGAATTCTCTCAGCTGTACAGACCAATTCCCACTGTTTAAGAAGTTCAGTAATACCTATTGGCTATTGACACCAAAAATAGTAGTTCTCTGCACACAAATACTAATCTCTTATCTCTCACTCTGTCCTTTTTTTCTTCTTCCTTTTAATACTTTTAAGCACACATCCTATAGTTCAACCCTTACAATTGACGGGCGACGGTGCCGCACACAAGAGGATGAAACAAGTGAAAACCAACTCTTTCTTTTACCATCGAATCGATGACAATGGACCCACCAAGGGGAAGGCAGGTGCAGCACCCTACTTCTGTGCCTGGTTCTGAGGCTGATGATTCTGTTGTCTGGTTTGAGATGCTGCGGCAGACATGACACGCAATCGTCCGGCAATTTCAGTGAACGCTGGGCGTGCCAAAGGATCTGGTGCCCAGCATTGCTCCATTAGCAATTTCCAGTCCGGATCACAGAAGCCTGGTACGGGAGGCCTCAGTGTGTTGTTGACAATGCCACCTACAAGAGGAAATAGGGAAGAGAACCAAGCTAAAATCAGGTAGGACATATTCGGCTCACAGGAAAATCATGTACTGGCATCGCCAGTTATAACTGGATGGGTTGATATGATACAAGATGATAAAGAAAACAAAGTTCGTCACACACAAACCTATAATTGCTCCGTAATGCATATTGGCATAAGGTTCCTCACCGGTAAGAATTTCCCACAGCACAATACCAAAGGAAAATACATCAACCTGCCAGCATACTAAGAATCAATACAATGCCAGAAATTTGGAAGACCATATGTCTGACCGTCCATAATCATATAAATAAACAACTTATGGTAACTTGACACAGAAGTGCAGGACAAAAGCAATCCGAAGAGTTTCCCTTCGCATGGAGCCATACATGAACTAAGAGATTGCATATGAATGAGAAGTGGGTCTTTTATCGCTTCCTTGGATGGTCAAAGAGTAGTACCTTTTCAGAAACTTTACTGCTGCTCCCGTTCAGCAGTTCTGGAGCCATCCACGGGAGTGTTCCCCTCACACCACCAGTAACTAATGTGTTCCTTTTGATTTTTGACAAACCAAAATCACCTACCTGCAGAGACGTAAACAGGTGATAAAGTTCTTTGGAAACCACAGCAACCAGGAAACGAGGGGAGGAAACGCAACCTCCATTAAATAGGCAGCACGCTGCCTTGCTCTCTAATTCTGGCTCCAGAACTACCAGTTCCCAGAAACATAATTTACCTTGCAAATGGGTCGCAGCAGATCTTTCAAGTTGACAAGCAAATTATCACATTTCAAATCAAAGTGCACGATGTTCTTTGAATGCAGGTATTCCATTCCAAATGCAGCATCCATTGCGATAATGAGCCTCTTACGACGATCAAGATGCCTAAATATTAAAAAAAAATGCATACCATGTCAGAGCGAGCGATTGAAGACTAGAAACAAAGTGAGATGCACAACTAGGCACTAGCACTACCTCTCCTTGCTCAGCAGCACATGTCTAAGAGAGCCATTCACCATGTACTCTGTCACAGTGGCCAGTGTTCCACCTGGTCCATCCTGCACCACCCCATACAATGCCACGACATTGGGGTGATGAAGTTTTGACAGAATATCTGCTTCCCGCCAAAACTCTACTGTCTGAAATACAAGACATAATCATGAGATTGAATGGACAAGACGTATCAGCACCCATGATTTACAGGATTCCCACTAATCATTTCATGTCAGTGGTTAGTGTACTTGCTTAGTATTTCCCACACAGATCATTGTTTGACGACCAAACTGAAAAATGTTGTAGCCCAGAACACAAGAAACCAATGCAGCACAGAATCAGATATTAAGTCAGTTAAAGGAAGCTAAATCCTACTTACAGAATGATAGGCTATGGAGCTATATCTTTGTCGAATAACACCTTTATAACAACTCCACTATCCAAGCAATTATAGTGGCTTACCAGCCTTTCCTGCTCTGATGGCCGCCCAGTGAAACAGCTCTTTTTTATTCGCTTAATGGCAACATCTGAACCCCTCCACTTTCCATGATAGACTGTCCCAAAAGTTCCTGAACCCAATTCCCTCAACTCTTCTAGATCTTCATTTTTTATTATCTGAATAAATAACAGTTGTCAGAATATATGAAAACTAATATGCTGTCAGAAAGAAAAGTAAGCCAAGAAGGAAACAACGCATGGAAGCTTCATGCTACTAAATTGCAGTTGCATCAGCTTTTCCCATTATGGCAGGCAAAACAACCAATTCATACATCTGTAACTCCAAAAACCAATTGCAAGTAGAGAGATTTTCAAATTGTGTTTGTTTGTGCCGGTGAGTGGTAGCTGAAACTTAGTAAAAGTTCCAGATAAAGAACAAACATAGGGCATATTGAGTTTGCTCTGGCTGTAGCAAGTTCCCGCAGCAAGTATGCAGAACCATCCACAAACAATAACCATAATCCCCCCACAAGTTTCAGGCCAGTGATGAACAAGAGTATGAGGAGAAACCTCAACAATATCAGTGAGCCACTAGAAATTGTATCTCTCTGTCCAGACCTCTTACCACTATCGAGATAAGATACTGACAGTAATACCATCGGTATCCAAGAATTCCCAAAGTCGCAGAAATATATTAATGAAAGCACCTACATTACTTAGGGGCTTCAGATTGATGAATTGAGCAAGCAGGATACGAATACACATTTTATCAGGATTGTCACCCTTAGGAATCATGCTGCACTAAGATAACACAAATGGCTACAGATGCATAATTAACTGACAGAATCTGGGCAAATCCTTCAACCATAATGGCCTAGCATATACACCGCAACAGCAGTAGCGTCCTGCAAAGTGATGCTTGCTATATTCATCCATTTTAACAAAGCAGAAGAGACATGAAATCTTGTCTAACTAGGACGATTTAACCAAATATCAAATTGAGATATCAAGACACTGGTAAATCAATAGTTTGCTACAATTAAAATTCATGGAATCTGGGGTATCATGTTTTGTGAAGTCTTCGTGCATGTGAAACAGAACTAAATTCCATACAAGCAACCTCAACTAAATGAAAGGAACATCTATATCTTCACTGATTTTCAGTTACTGTAATAAACAAGTATTGTTAGAAAAACTGCCCATGTTCACCTGTAGCGTACTGATGTCAAAATCTCCAAGAGAAATGTCAAGAAGTGGTCCGGCAGTATTATTTACATCCGACTTTCCATCCTGACAGTGACAGTGTATTTGAAGAGATACGGAAATATTAGCATTATGATCCATGATATGCAGATTATGACGTGCTATGCAACAGAAAGGGTACCTCGTATTCAGATTCTGGAATCCTCGAGTTGATTCCATCCAACTGTAAGCTCTCCTGGCCTTTGAGCTGAGAATGGCTACAGTCCAGTGTTTGAGTCCCAACAATAACGGATTTCTGTTTTTGGATGTCTTCATCAAAGTTAATGGGTGGGTCCATTTCCGGCAAGGAAATGCCACCAGTTTTAAAAGGAGGATAGCTGTAATCAAGAGGAGTGCTCCCTTCAGCAGTTGTCATAGAGAGGGGAAAGGCAGGATGATCTTGATCCATAAGGGATACATCCTTCCTCAAAAATTGATTCTGCGCCAAGTTCCGAAAGTATGACCATCGTTTTGGATCAAGATTCTCCACGTTCAAACTCAAGCCAGCTCCATCAACATGCATTGGGCCAATGGTAGAGCTATTCTCATGGATCTTGGCTTGTGAAAATATATCAGATAAAAAATCACGAGAAAAACGCTCATTGATATCAATAGTAATCTGCTCAGGAGTACCAATGACAGCAGACTTCACATTAGAAACAGCTCCACCGGGGTTCTCTATCTGTTGTTTGGGAAGTTGCATCTGCCCCTTAGCATTGCTGCCAATATTATTATTGTCGGCTATATCAGACTGATCAAATTCTGATGACCTCATAGCAGAACTCTCCAGGTGCTTGCTGGAAGGTCCCGGAATCTCACTTGCATCTGGATGCATCAATCCCGAACCTTCCTTTTTGGCTTTCAACTGAGAAGTTTCTGAATTTTCAGTGCTATTAAAGAATACATGCCTAGAGTCAGACTTCTGCGACTTTGACTCCTTCACTGAGGGAACATGAGAACTGGGTTTACTCATATTATCAGCCAATTCCTTGTACTGTTCAAACTGAGCCAGTCCATCCTGAATGGTCTGAGGATTTACATGATGCCCTTTTGCAGATGGGAGAGACTGTTCAGGCATGAGCGTTGCTGGAGTATCATGTAACTTATTAACTGAATCATTGACTAGTTGAGAAACACTAGAACGTGCCTGATTCATTAGAACCTGTGGATCAAATGAATCTTCAGATTTTGACAGGCGATGTAATTCTGCCTGCTCTCTGGGAAATCGCTCGGAGTGAAAGACAGGTTGAGGAACTACAGGCTGTTCAGGGTAGCTACAGTCTGTCAGAACAGCCTCGGACTGGGGGGCGAAGGAACCACCAGACGAGTATTGATCATCCCCTGCATTCTTCTTTCCTTCACTTAAATTCTTAGGATTCTGTAAACCTTCCTGAGGTCTTGTATTACTTTTTGTAGGTAAGACAGGCAAAGCTACATCTGTTGCAGGATTGGAAGCTGCAGCTTCCTCTTTATGAACATTATTCGGTATAGACACAGCTTCATTTATCTTATGGAGTGAGCCATCACGTTTCATCTTCAGTTCCTTTGGTGCCTCCTTATCTGCATTTTGTATTGCATCTAACTCATGTATCTTCTGGCTAGAGCTATCTCTTCTCAGTTTGTTACCCTTGATAGATGCTTCTGCATTTTGCACACGAGCGCCACCCTGTGTAGTTTCCTCAGCCATACCCCCTGTCTTAGTAGGATGCCCATGGAGAGGCACAGGCATCAAAGTCTCTCCAGATGTTCCATAGCAAGAAGGGTGGTTAAGGATAGCATATTTCTTTGCGTTAGAGGAGTTAGAACCTTCCAGTTGTTGCAGGTTCGCCACAGGTCGAGTTGAAGTTATTGGGTACTGGCTGGCACCCAAATGATGGGTATTCTGTCCCTGATAAGGTTGTGCAAAAGGGATGGATGAAGTCAAAGCCCCCGGTTGAGAAGATTGAATAGCCGAGGGAGACTTTGTAACTGCCGAAGGTGATATGGTAGGAATGGATGTGACAGCTGCAACTCGACTATTCTCCCTTTCAACGTTGAGACTATGTAACTCATCCAAGTTGTTTCCAGATGCACTTGCTAAATTGATGGAGTTTTTCCTTGAACCAAAATCCATACCGTTCACAGCAACAACATATTGTATCTCAGAATCACAGTCCACACTTCCCAGACCACATGTTCCATCCTCCAAGTCATAGCTGGAAAATAGAAACATCCTGGGCTTCTGTGAACCTCCATCATCTAGTAAACTACATTCCTCCATCATGTTCTGAAGATCCTCATCACATGATACTGAAACAAGCGCATCAAGATCTTCACCTGGAAGCTGGTACTTTATCGTGTGAGGTTGATTGCAAATGGCCAAAGTCTTCCGCACTAGCTCTTTCCAAGAAATATCCTTGCTTATCCGAATTATGCGTGTTTCACCTCCAACATATCTAAGTTTTCCATCACTTGGGCGTGGCAAAATGGTACCACCGAAGCTGCAGAGAAACTTTACCTTAACAGATGAACAATCTGATGGCCCCGATGAAGTATTACTCTGAGTTCCTCGCCTACTGTCATTTCTTGATGAGGTTCTTGGCACTGATCGTACTGAATCATGTTCCTGTTTGGGAATAACCTTCCTTTCAAAGTCCTGTGTACGCCCTTTTTCCACACCGTTGACCATTGCGATATCTGACCCACTTTCTGACCCCTTATTAGACATTCCAAGCATACCCTTTAAATCCATGTAGCCAGATCCACTACTAGGATCTACATATGGGTTTGGAGGGAAGTGCTGCTGGGGATTCACCCTTTCCCGCATAAATTCAAGGGAAAACTCCTCACCCGTCTGAATGGAGTAATTAAGTACAGGTCTGGCTCTAATTGATAAGTTGTAATCAGGAGGGCGCGAGTTAGTGTTAATGTTGGTCGAAGGATCATGCAAAAACCTTTGGCTGGTAGAACTAGGTCCCTCATTTCTAGTCTCAACATTATTATACCAAGGTTGCTCGTAATTCGCTTGATCCATCACAACCTTGCTCGGATTCTTTTCCATCAAGGTTAAGCAAACCAGCAAGGTGAGACTTCAAGGAACGCCATATCAGTCCAAAAGCAGATCCGTGGATGAGCAGAAACTTAGTCCGCAAAATGACATCTCTACTGTAACAGTAAGAAAAAATCTTTCACCAGTAAGCCTTTCTGTTAAACTCATAGAAACCAAATTTGACTACAAAATTGAGGTGCGAGCTCGGCACATGCAAAACCAATTCATCCATGGCTATGACAAGGACATCATGCAGAGACCAAGTAAAATGTCAGGATGGAAAATAATCAACTTCCTCGGAGAAAACCCCCGAGAAAGCAAAAGGTGATCCCAACGAATTGGAGACAAACAAGCTGATAATTTACTCAAGTCAAAAGACTTTTTACATCCCACAGTCTTCATTCAGCTAGCAGCTATAAATCACAAGGCGAAATTCAAACAAAAACCCTAACATCAGTCAACGGGAGGAAAGCAGATCAAGCCTCGGTGAGCTGTAATCCAACTCCCCCGTTAATCCCAATTCAACGTTTTTCCAACTGACACTCCAAAATAGGCCTAAAAATCACTTCAAATCCAATCTCCCCGAGAGGGGCGGAGGCCGGGGCAGACGAAATCAGTGATCTCGTCGACAGTAGCAGATACCCAAAGAAGAAGAAAAACTCAAATCGGAGGGAAATTGGACTGGGAACAAAAAACATTGGAAGGCATAAGTGAATTACTAGTACCTGAGAAAGACCGTAATCGTAATCTCTGTGAGTTGTGACCGAGTTCAGCGCAAGAGAAGCAGAGAAATCGGGGGACAAGTCTACCCCTTTTGTCTTTGAAAATGTGTTTTCAGTTGAACATTAGGAGGAAGGAGCACAAATTTAATTTTCAATCAATAGATGAAAGAAACGGAAATAGACCAAAAATCTACCCAATAAATAAAAGGCAAATGAAAAAACTTGAAGCCCATTTCAAATTTCCGGCACTCAGAGTGAAAATAGGAAGGACATTTTGGTATTCACAATTATTTTTTTTTATTCATTAAAAAGATACATACTAGAATTTGAACCATAACCACTTTAAAGAAAAGCAAACATCATAATCAATCACACTAAGTACATTTGTTATATTTTTTTAAATTAAAAACATATAATAGCATAGAGGAAAAACTATTCCCCCATTTCAAATTCTCTGCTCCAGGAGCGTTTGTATGAAGGGTAGAATAGGAAGTGCCAACTTTTTTCTTTTACCTCAGTGGAACGGGTCATCTTACCGTACACAAGCGGATTTAAACGGGTCTAAGAGTGTCAATTTTTTTATTTAAGTCCTTTTATTTCTTCGTGGTGGTAAAATATATATGAAAAGGGAAAAATAATACTCCTTTTTATTGCTAAAAAAAATTAACAATAAACGAATGCATGGATTCTAATAGGCTAACCGCTAACCATAAAATAAAAGAGTTGAATGGGTCTGACCTACACGAGATTTGCCCATTAAGTAAAACAAATGAACATCATGGGTTTGTCATTCTAAAACAAGTTATTTTCTCTAGCATAATATATATTATGCTATTATTTTATATCTTAGTGGCTAAAATATAATGTATTTTAAAGTTATTCAATAGTTCAACCTCGACCAATCCAATTAGTCCAATCATTTCAACTATATATTATGTAATTATTTGATACCATAATTATTAAATTATAGTATATTTTATAGGGAATCGTTTGGTATTTGTTAGTAAAAAAAATAAACAGAAAAATATATTTGGTTATTTTTAACATTAAAACGATCATAAACATTTTCAGCTTTCTTTCAAAATTCACTATTTTTATCACGTGTTTCCCTAAAAAAAACTATAAAATAATAAGCTATACACCCCATTACATTATCAAATTCATACCTCACCTTCCTCCGGCCAACTGACCGGGGCCATGGTCCAGGAAACCGGATCGTACCGGCCGGTTGAACCATAAACCGGACCAGTGACGAAACGGTACGTCAAGTGCAGGGGGGAAGAGCCTGCCGGCCGGCATTGGCAGTCGTACCGGCCTACCGCGAGATATCGGGCGGTTTCAACAAAACCGGCGATTCCTTAAGTTCTTGTGAAGCGACGCCATTTTGGTTATGTCCGGATTTCCAAAATGACAAACGGACAAAGAAGCATCACAAACTACATAAACTCATCAAATTAATGTAGTCGTAAGATGTATTCAGTGGTCATGATTAAAGTATAAACTGAGTGCATTCAGTGCACCCAAAAAAGTAGGTGCACCGAAGTGGCCACCTATATAATATAAATATATATATATATATATATATATATATATATATATATATATATATATATTGGCTTCTATGGTGCCCTCGGTGAAATCCAGGGTACCATATGCTTTGAGTATGAAAACGTTATCTAGTCCTCGAATTGGTAGGATTTTTGGTTCTAATACTATACTCTACCCCTAATGAGTGAACCCTAGGCTCTAATTATCTAAATCATAACCGTTGATTATTATTTCTAATTAAATTGATCTTGGGATATAAGATTTAGAGAATTAATACATAGATTTTCATCTTTAAGGGTTAGAGTATACTATCATGTATGAAAGATCCGTTAATTCAAGGTTTTGATAGCAGTTTCATACTAAAGGTTTGTGGTACCTCGGATTTTACCCTGGGTATCCTAGAACTCACCATATATATAAAAAAATTTATTTATTTTTGTATATATATATATTGGAAGGATAAGTTTCATAGCAACTTAGAAGCTTTTATCATTAATAAATAAATAGTGATTGTAGAACATATCTCAACAATTCGATTTTTTATGATCAACAATTCGAGTTATTGATACTAAACAATTTTTTATAAAAAATAATATTAAAAAAATAAACGACTAATTGAAAGATGAATAATTTGATATTTTTGTTAGTTTTGACTACTAATATATTTTAATTTATAAAGTTTTCCAAACATAAGTCTATATGATGGATGATTAAAAAAGTTCAACAAAAACTATTTATCATGTGTATTTTTTTCAATGAACTCACTTTTGATGAAATCCTGACTACGCTCATGTCCAGGAGAGTTTCATACGAATTCTCTTGTGAAACGATGCTTCTTGAAGGTTGTCAAGCATAGTAATTTTCCATTGTGATGCTTCAGTGTTGGACGTTGGAGCCGTTTTTCGCGTCCATCAACCGAGGGATAGTCTGTTGGAGTGGGGGTGGATTTTATATGATTCTGCTGCAAAACGTTGGCAAATTTTGCCTTGATAAATCTTTCTAAGATGATTGCGGTGATTGGGTTGACTATGACACAAACTGTCTTTTTGGGGGACTGGTCGTTTTCTTTAGATAGCGATCCATATTTGACAAAAAAGTAAGTTGACAGTTGTTTGGAGTTTGCAATGACGGAGAAGATATGGTGCTTTAATGGTTTTGAACTATGGTTAATTTGAAGGCAACGAGATGCATTGTCGGACTGAAGGATAAGTTTCGGTTTTGGCTATGTTGTGAGGATAGGGTTAGCCGATTGGTGTTCGTTGAAACACCCTAACCCGGTCGGGTACTACTATTACTAAAATGCTCTTGAAAAATAAAATAATCAAAGCTTAAATTTCAGCGGGAAACATTTCATAACAAAATACTGAAAACACACTCCTGTAGTTCAAAGCAAAGCCCTACAAGTGGGCAAAATCAGTACTTAAAATCTCAAAGTGATCTCCAGTCTATTCACATAATCATAAATGTAAATAACTAATAGTCCCTAATGTTGCTGCTACTGAAAACCTTGACTAAGCATCCTCCGTGACGCTTATACTGCCCTCCTCTAGCTGGCTGCCATCCAGCTCGCTGCTTACTAACTGCTCCTCTAGCTCCTCCTCTAGCCCTTCAAACTAGTGAGTGAGATGGGGTCAGTCTACGCCCTTATGTTTAACATCTTATTAAGACTTGATTACTTTACTTAACTGAGTGGAAGTTGATTTGTATTTCCACTATTAAAAAGCTTAACTCTTAAAACTGAATGGGAGTTACTGTTACTCCATTCTTAAACCTCAAAGCTTGACTTAAATACTTGACTGACACGGGGATCCCTCACTAGCTAGTCCGGTTGCCAACTCATACGTAGGAGAAGCCATCCAGGCTTTCCTTAAACTTAAACATAGTTAGGAAAGTCGTAACGATTCATCCCCCTAACATCTTAAACTTATCGTGGTGGCTCTTCACCACGATTCTCAAGGGCATAACTGCTGCCCATCTTAAAAGCCTCAAGAGCATAACTGCTGCTCTATCTCAAAATGTCTCAAAAAGCAACGGACTGGCGCTAGTGACTAAAAACACTTAAAACGACTTCACCTTCTTGAAGGTGAGTTACTTCTTAAAAAGAACTTGCTTCTTAACTTCAACAATAACTTATAAACTTAAAGCTTAAATTTAAATAAGAACTCATGCACATTCACCACAAGCATAGCACAAACAAAATCACATATCAACAACCATAAGCACAATCAAACAACGACATTCACTTCATCAAAATACTCAAGACTTGTAACTCTTGAAAGAACACGTAAGGCGTAGAATTTACCCCCTTTACACTCACCTTGAATCCATCGAATCCGACTCTGATTCTGCTATAAAAATTTCCATATTTGCTCCCAAAATATTCTCCTTGCTTTCACGATCACATAGGCGCAGACGGTTCCTCGATCGGACGTCAATTAATCGAGTTATGACCAAAATAAACATTCAGTCAGTTTAAAAGTACCAGGTACCAAAACTGTAATTTTCCAGTCAACACAGTTGACCACGATCTCTTTGGAAGAATTACACATTTAATCCTCTAACTTCTCGAATCGCCAAGAATGGTACCTGAACTATCCGATTGTGTCCCAAACTTTCGAGACTCGTATCTCCCTCATCCAACGTCCGAATTCGATTTCATCGACACGGGGATACTCCTGGGATCGTCAGCTACGCAACCGTACCCCTTTCTTGAAGTATGGTTGAGTTCGACCATGTCGGGTTCGTCGTCGGAGTCAATGATGGTGATGGCTCTACTCCTCGTGGCCTGCTGTCTCCATCACGTCTGCCACACGAGAGACGGACATGGATGACGATGGAGGCGAGTCCAGGAAACGGTGGCGTGAGGCTGCTGCTGAGTTTGCCGATCGGGGAGGAGCGGATTCGGTGCTGCCGCTGCTGCTCTTCTCCACTTCCGTTGCTGGGCGGTGATGATGGAAGGCGAAGAAGAAAGAGCTGAGAGACTCTGTCGCCGCTCTCAACGAAGCACTTCCTTCTGATCCTTCCAATTCCGAACTTCGCTCCTTTTAGGAGGAGATGGTGCGGTTGATCAAAGATGCGGAGGATGGGCTGAACTTACGGCTGAGAAAAAGAAAGAGAGAGAGAGAGAGAGCAAGGAACTGGGAGCGACAAAAGCAGCAGAGCTCGCAAACCGCAATTGATTCTTTCTTTTTTTTCGGTTCGGCTGCTTATCTGTTAAATCCTTTGGATTTACGGAATTCCAATTGGGGAATTGGATGCCGAAAACTCTGAAGATAGAAGAAGACGAAGAAATCATAGCTAGCTTTGCAGGATTTTCTTGATTCTGTTTGCTCGAGAATAAAGGTCGATTTGCCTTTTTCCCTTTCGATTCCCGGAGAAGACGATTGTGGCGGCGGAATTAGGGATTTGGGCGGCTAAAACTCGTCTCTTCCTGTGGGTTTAGATTTTTGTTTATATATATATATTAATTAGTAATAATAATATAATAAATTATTATTACTAATTCACGGTTGCAACCCTTCGTACGTAACCGTTAACCCAACCGTTCCCGTATTTTTGTCGAACCTGAACCCAAAGTCGGCGTATTACATTTCCTCCACCCTTATAAAAATTTCGTCCCCGAAATTTGCTTGAATCTCATTACTCTGTCAACACAATTCTTGTGCTTCCTTGCCCCAAAAATTTACTCTCTCTATATGAACCTTGATGATGTTCGTTGCTTGTCCCGTATAGTTTACCTCACCTCAAGTTATTTCCTCTTGACCATAAAAGGTATTCTCAACAAGCTCATTAGCATCGAGTAGCTTTGAGTGGCTACTTGCCCTTTTCAAAATTTCCCAACTTGGATCCAGTACTTGATGGTGAACCTATCGAAGTCGAGGTATCACATTTCCTCCCCACTTATAGAAATTTCGCGGCAAAATACACTTGTATAGCCAAAAATTCACACTTTGTGACAATAATAGCCAAATTTTGAAAAATACACAATTGTAGCCATACTTTTTAAACTTGTTTGACTAATTTAGCCATTTCTGTCAAATATTTTAACGGCGTTAATAACTCCATCAGTTAGATGAATGTTATGCTGATGTGGCTGCCACTTGACCGCCACATCATGTCCACCTAGCCTCTCAATTGCCACATGTAATTCATCTTTTATTAAATGTTAATTACATAAAAACAAAAACAAAAAAACAAAAGGGGAATGAGAAATCTCTCTCCATCATCCTTTCTTCATCTTCTCCTGCCGCCGTTTCTGCTCGTCTTCGACGGAAAATAAGAGCTTAGAGCTCTACCCCTACAATGGTGGTGCCCAAACCCTAGAATTTGTCAATCCCCCAACCGAGCAATTAATGCCTTTGATTTCGCGGCGGTGACCTCCGATCTGATTCGATGGGTCCTTTACTCTGCTTCTTCTTTCGATTTAACGGGCCACGCAACCGCTGTTAACCTTTAGACGCGGCAAATCACAGAGCAACTGTTCAACTTCGTCATCGCATCTCCCACCCCTTCCGCCGTGTCGTCCGGTATGCTTTCCAAGGCGTAAGACTCGTCCAAGGGTTTCGATACGACGAACAGAACCCAGCCAAATACAAGCCTGAAATCGACCAGCCTAAAGCTGGCGGTTGATCTTGCCGAAGGATTTGATGAACGCAGATGGGAGCAAGGTGCGGAGGCGGATCAAAGTGTTTTGTGTTTTGGCTATTGAAGGGGTCTGGGGTGTGCGTGAGGAAGTCGAACAATTGGGGGTGGGAGAGATAATTTCTTTTTAGTCTCATTTCTATCTTTTATTTCATTTAATTAATTAAAAAATGTCTATTTTCCTCCTACGCATTTTTTATGAAAATATGCCACGTCAACTAAAATTGTTAGTCCAATCAGCATTCACATTTGGTCCGTTAAAGTTTTGAACGGAATGGCTATTTCTCTGTATTTTTCAAAAAATGGCTATTATTGTCAAAAAGTGAATAGTTATGGCTATCCAAGTGTATTTTGTCAAATTTCGCCCTCGAAATTTGTCCACTGTGATTACCCTAAGCATCGCTTGTGGTAATCCTTTTCACTTCGCGGATTTTTATTTCCTTTAACTTATACGACATGACCTAAAATCCTTCTCTCCATTCCCTGCAACTTCAATGTTGTTGTGGCTTCTTAACCCCTCACACCACCTAGGCTGCACCTATACATGAGAAGTTAATGCCCCTCTCCAACCACAAGGTCACTGATGGCGGCTTATCTTCCATCTAGTCAGATGGTAAAACCCTTTTAACGTAACTCTCGTCTAGGGTCGACCTCATAGGTCACCTAGGTCCTTGTATCTTCTAACTTTGCATCCCTTACTTTCCTCCTTGATGCCACGTCTTATCCTTTAACCATAAACTGAGTGGTCATCTTCTTGTTACTTCTTGCCTAACTCTGAAACCTCATACTACTGCTTCGACTTTCTGTATGCATTAGAGGCATCCTTTGCATCTTTCTCTAGCTTGCGATCAACTTTATGACTTCCTTCCAGAATCATGACCTTCCATTTTGAGTACTTTTTCACTCATGGCGCCTAACTTAACACTTCCCTAGCACCGTTTAACTTGGGAGTTCTCGTACAATCTCTTCTATTGTTCCTTGACCTTGCCTGAAATTCCTCGTACAGTTTCCCCGTCCAAGAAATTTTCATCCGAGAGATCGCCACATTTCACCCTCATAGATGGTATTGCTTTCACTTTAGGGTATCCTAGCAGGTTTGCTAAACTCATATCCATCTTACTTCTTTACTCGTGACTTCTCTTACCGATGTTTCTCGCTAGTTCTATATGTCCCTCGTCCTTGATGTAGTCATCTTGGTGCCCATATTCTCTTCTCACTTATGTACTTGACCGATAAGGTTTTCCCTTCGACCGTTCTGGACCACCACACTTCTACTTTAAAGTTGACCATTGAGCTTTTCCGTTCTTGATGGGCTTCCTATGGTCCAGCTTATTCTCCACTAACAATCACCTTAACGCCTCCTTGTTGACCTTCTTATTCTTTCGCCAGCTCTTCCTAACTATCTTTCTCCCTGAATTTGTCGTTTTATCAACTACCACCCTTTTCACCATAACTTTCATTAGAACTTCTAATGGACATTCTACTTGCTTGTCTATACTCGGCTGGTTGAATGACTTACTTCTATAGCTGGTTTAGAGACTCCAGCTCTTAGCCCTCTAGTTCCAACTTATTACAGATGTTCCTCCTTCTGTCACCCCTCATGTACCCTAGGTGGCTAGGTGTTCCCTCCATTTAGGATAGGACAATCCCATAACAGATCATCGTGAACTCTTGCATTCCCCTTTCAACGGTCCCAACGACCTCCCGACCTTTCATGACCTGGGTAGTTTGTAGGGTCTCTATCCTCCTTCTAACTCGGTGTTATCTTGGTATCCAACTCACGCACTTCTGAGAAGTGGTTCTCTATTCGTACTGCCATCTACTAGCTAACTGTTATTCTTGATCCAAGCTCGTCCTCTACCCCGATCACCTTGACTCTTGTCTTGTTCCTTTTAAAGGCTTGCTATCAGCCTAACTCCCCAGGGTCATGTACCCTCTTCTCTAGTGAGGTAGTGTATGTATAAGGGTTCCATTGTCGTCATATGTAAATGACCATGCCTCATCTTCGCCTTGACTTATTGACTTCTTGACGTCCTTTCAGATAGGGATGGCAATGGGTCGGGTTTTGTCAAACCCAAACCCAAACCCATGGGTTTATCCGCCAAAAAAACCCGGGGGTAAAACCCGTTGGGTTTGAAAAACTCAAACCCAACCCAACCCGCTGGGTATCCGCGGGTTCATGGGTACCCGTGGGTTTATGTGGTAAAAATTTATAATAACAAGTTTCTTTCAAAATAAAAGTTTAACATCAATTTTCTCATACAAATTAATCATACAAAAAACATCAATCTAGAGCATACAAGCAAACCGCAAATGATCAATACAAATTGTTCAAAATTAAAGATAAACATATACAAACAATAAGATTAATTGAAAGTTTCTTCCTCGTCAACTAAGTTTCTTCACTCTCCACTTCATAATATCAACTTCATTCTAAACAATTAGAAAGAACAAATTATACATGTCTCCACAAACATATAGAATATTAGTTATTTAAGGAAGATATATTATTTAGAATATTAAATATACCGGAAAAGTAATTATATGTGTGTGGGCGGGTACCCATGGGGCGGGTTTACCTAAACCCAAACCAACCCGACCCGGTGAATAGTGTAGCGGGTTTAAACCTGAATCCGGCCCAAAACTCGTCAACACGGGTTTTACCCGCGTTGACTGGGTTGGATCGGGTGGGTACCCGTGGGTTCGGGTTTTGTTTCCATCCCTACTTTCAGACCCCCTCTAACCTACTTACTTCCTCCTTTACTTCATTTATACTACACTAGCTTCTCTTGAAGTCTAAACTTTCCACTGCTCCTTGTCACTGTGTTGTAATGGCGTTGACCAATAAAACTAGTTGAGGGACTTCTCGGGGTACCTCTTCGTTTCTTGACCCGTTGCCCACTTTCCACTGCTTAGGACCAAAGACCCTAACATCATCCTATTATCATAGCTACTGCATCTGGTGATTGCTCCTCTTCCTTTGGAGATTCATATTTCTCCCCTTTGTTTGTCTTAGCTTATTAGATCATCCACTAGTATCCTAGTAGTAAAATCCTCGTACTACTCTCTCAACTCCTTCAAAATCCTTGAGGTATTCCCTTTTAATTGGCACCTCTTAGCTGGTGTTTGGAGTGGAAGTCCTCGCACATTTGATTCTACCTCCACAGACCTTTGCAACGTTCCTCCTTCCTTCTCTAGGTTGATGATGATGATCTGTTTGCTAACGTCCGAGTAGTTGGTTAACTGATTGAAAAACTACTATCCATCATGTCGATGAGATACTTGGTCTTGAGAGCCTTTGAGATTCTATTTGGGTTGGTCACGTTTCTTTCATCATTTCTTTCTTACTGGGGATCACCATATGCCTAAATCTCTCATTTGACAAACCATGACATGTTAACTAAATCGCGTCCTAGCCTATTCTTAAACAATCGCACCCCGGGCTACCATCCCTTCGTGTCGTGCTGTCACAGTTATTCACCTTAATATGATTAGAGTAGACTGTAGATTCTATAAACTCTTAAAAGAAGATCCTTGACTCGTTTTCCTTTCCTTTAAAACAAAAGCCTTTAAAAACTGAGACCGGCATTCCAGTATTCCTTGGAAACCAAGGAACAGAGGAAGACCGGCTCTGATACCAAAATGAAACACCCTAACCCGGCCGGGTACTACTTTTACTAAAATGCCCTTGAAAAATAAAATAACCAAATCTTAAATTTAAGCGGGAAAAATTTCATAACAAAATACTGAAAACACACTCCTGTAGTTCAAAGCAAAGCCCTACAAGTGGGCAAACTCAGTACTTAAAATCTCAAAGTGATCTCCAGTCTATTCTCATAATCATAAATGTAAATAACTAATAGTCCCTAATGTTGCTGCTACTGAAAACCTTGACTAAGCATCCTCCGTGACGCTTATACCGCCCTCCTCTAGCTGGCTGCCATCCAGCTCGCTGCTTACTGACTGCTCCTCTAGCTCCTCCTCTAGCTCTTCAAACTGGTAAGTGAGATGAGGTCAGTCTACGCCCTTACGTTTAACATCTTACTAAGACTTGATTACTTTACTTAACTGAGTGGAAGTTGATTTGTATTTCCAATATTAAAAAGCTTAACTCTTAAAACTGAATGGGAGTTACTGTTACTCCATTCTTAAACCTCAAAGCTTGACTTAAATACTTGACTGACACGGGGATCCCTCACTAGCTAGTCCGGTTGCCAACTCATACGTATGAGAAGCCATCCAGGCTTTCCTTAAACTTAAACTTAAACTTAGTTAGGGAAGTCGTAACGATTCATCCCCCTAACATCTTAAACTTATCGTGGTGGCTCTTCACCACGATTCTCAAGGGCATAACTGCTGCCCATCTTAAAAGTCTCAAGAGCATAACTGCTGCTCTATCTCAAAATGTCTCAAAAAGCAACGGACTGGCGCTAGTGACTAAAAACACTTAAAACGACTTCACCTTCTTGAAGGTGTAGTTACTTCTTCAAAAGAACTTGCTTCTTAACTTCAACAATAACTTATAAATTTAAAGCTTAAATTTAAATAAGAACTCATGCACATTCACCTCAAGCATAGCTCAAACAAAATCACATATCATCAACCATAAGCACAATCAAACACCGACATTGACTTCATCAAAATACTCAAGACTTGTAACTCTTGAAAGAACTCGTATCTCCCTCATCCGACGTCCGAATTCGATTTCGTCGACATGGGGATACTCCTGGGATCGTCAGCTACCCCACCGTACCCCTTTCTTGAAGTATGGTTGAGTTCGGCCATGCCGAGTTCGTCGTCGGAGTCAATGATGGTGATGGTTCTACTCCTCGTGGCCTGCTGTCTCCATCACATCTGCCATACGAGAGACGGACAGGGACGATGATGGAGGCGAGTCCAGGAAACAGTGGCGTGAGGCTGCTGCTGAGTTTGTCGATCGGGGAGGAGCGGAGTCGGTGCTGCCGCTGCTGCTCTTCTCCACTTCCGTTGTTGGGCGGTGATGATGGAAGGCGAAGAAGAAAGAGCTGAGAGACTCTGTCGCCGCTCTCAACGAAGCACTTGCTTCTGATCCTTCCAATTCCGAACTTCGCTCCGTTCAGGAGGAGATAGTGCGGTTGATCAAAGATACAGAGGATGGGCTGAACTTACGGCTGAGAAAAAGAAAGAGAGAGAGTGAGCAAGGGACTGGGAGCGACAAAAGCAGCAGAGCTCGCAAACCGCAATTGATTCTTTCTTTTTTTTTTCGGTTTGACTGCTTATCTGTTAAATCCTTTTGATTTACGGAATTCCAATTGGGGAATTGGATGCCGAAAACTCTGAAGATAGAAGAAGACGAAGAAATCATAGCTAGCTTTGCAGGATTTTCTTGATTATGTTTGCTCGAGAATAAAGGTTGATTTGCCTTTTTCCCTTTCGATTCTCGGAGAAGACGATTGTGGCGGCGGAATTAGGGATTTGGGCGGCTAAAACTCGTTTCTTCCTTTGGGTTTAGATTTTTGGTTATATATATATATTATTAATTCACGGTTGCAACCCTTCGTACGTAACCGTTAACCCAACCGTTCCCGTATTTTGGTCGAACCTGAACCCAACCTTCTCCTTCTATCACCCCGTTAGTAACCCCCAAACCCCAATTCTCTCATCTCCCCCAGGAAGAAGTTCCCTCTCTGAATCCCTAATCTATTAATTCGATCCTTCCCTACTTTGTTGACTCGGCCCCGCGAGCAGATCGACCACCACCAGTTCTCCGTCTTCTCTTCTCCCTCCGACAAGACCAAACACCACCCAGATATTCCACCATCAGTACGTCTCCGTCTTCTCCTCCTCCCTCCCTACTTGGAGCAGCTGTCACCATCATCAGCGCCTCACCACCCCTGCCTCCGCCAGAGTTACCATTACCATATCCTCCTCTTCCACCGCCAGAAACCGCGAAATTGAGAGAAGCCCAGCTGCCGAATTCCATATCTAGAACCAAAAGAGCCCAAATCCTTAAACAGGGGCGAGCGATTAGAGTTCATGGAAGCGGAATAAGAACATGCAGTGAGTCCACAGCCCTCCCTTGACTCTCTTTCGATCTCCATAAAAACACAATCCTCTCCATTCTCTAATCGACACCCAACAATGACCCGTCGTGACCCGCCGCCGAAAGACAATCGGCCGAATTGAAGACCACCTGGATCTACAGAAACCCCAAAAAATCCCTAATCCGGCGGCGGCTACGGCTGGTGGTCTGAGCGGCGGAGAGAAAACTTGTGTGATGCCCGCATGCGACGGTGGCGGTAGGGATGGGGAGAGGAGATCGAGAAAGAGCGGGAGGCTGGGAGAGGAGATCGGGAGAGAGAGGAGGGTTGGGGAGGGTTGGGGGGAGAGAGAGAGGACGGTTCGGGAGAATGAAAATAGAGAGGTGGCGGAGATGGTAGTCGGTACTCGGTCTAACCGGTTGGTAACCGGTAACCGTCTATTTGGTAACCGGTTAACCGATTACAAACCGGTATCGGTATTCGGCCTCTTCCTCATGGTAAACGGTATACCGTAACCGGGTCGGTCGGTAACTGGTTAATCGATAACGACCAATTACCACCCCTAACTCATAATAGGCTACACAATAAAAGTCCCGGAGAGAGTTCTAAGAGAGCATGCAAAGAAATTGAAAAATAAAGAGCCAATGCCATACTTCTTATAAAAAACTAGTGGATTTTCTTATAAAAAATATGAAGGTTAGTTTAGTAAAAGTTACTTTAATAGGGGGTTTAAAAATAAAACGTGGTTGCCATCACACGATATTATGCATAAGGAATCAAAAAAATTCCTTACCTAAGTAAAAAGTAATTTTAGTGAAAACCTAAAAGAAAAGAATAAAAAGCAAACTGAATAAACAGAAGTCTATTTTATCGTCTTATTATCAAATTAATCTTTATAACTTTTCTTTAGGAATAAAGTAGTTGCGGTACTTGGTACAATATTAAATACAATTTTTGAATATCCATTAAAAGAAGCACTTAACTATTTAAATATTCATTTATAATACTACCCAAAAAAAAATATATTCATTTATAGACACCCATTTTTAATTCTGCCAAATTTACATATTTACTTGTTGAGTTTTAAAATGTCGTTAGAATACGCGGGTAACTATCTTTGCTCCTATACTGCGAGGGAGATAACGACTTTTTAAATGTGTAACCAAAAGTTTCTCGCATTTTTTTTTCTCTTAACGTTCAGGAAGACATCTTCGGCCACGCTAAACTTGTTACTATTAATGTGCACGTCCGATAAGAAGAAAAAAATTTCTTTAAATAATTTTCTCCAAAGATCCAAGAATCAGTTAGAATGAACATATACATTACTTTCCAATTTACACCGTCCGATCTATGTAATTTTAACATTTAGGGAGGGATACTCATGATCTTTAAATGCAGTAGTAACTCAACACATTTTTACTAGAGGTGACATTAGGGCTTTGAGTTGCAAATCTAAGGTATTAGATACTATGAAAATGGCCAAACATCAAATGTTTAATAAGAACAAAAGCATAACAAATGCTTTCATTCATTCTTTTGTTTGTAGTGAACATTGAACAAGCAAGAGTATTAATTGAAGTGGTAGAAAGAGGACACAAGAAAATCCAAAGCATGGATAGAGAGAATCTATTTTGTATGCCATGTTTACTTTACTTTAACAAAATCTCAGGGGGGGCACAGGTAGTTATGAGGCAACCGCTACCACTTTACCCCTAATTTAGCAATACCCTAGAAAGATTTCTGGATAATATAGACAGACAGAAACCCTAAATTAATAACAATAATAATATATACAATGATAAAAAAAATTTAAAAGGAAAATCTAAGAAACCACCCTTTCTAAAAACGAACACCGAAACCCAAAATCCAAGATCAAAGCTTACTGAATTGAACAGTAAGCCAGCGCTTGGGAGGGGCGTAGAATAGACACAAAGCGAGAATCAAGCCACTGTTGCGCCATTACTGTACTCTCTCTCTCTCTCTCACTCACTCACTCACTCACTCCTTCCCTCCCTCTGTCTCTGGTTTCCCAGTGGATACAGGGAGGACGATGAGGCGGCGGCGGGGGCGGCGGAGGAGGAGAGACCAGAGGAGGCGAGCGGCGTTGAACGGGGAAAGAGGGAGGGAGGGGGGGGGGGGGGGGGGGGGGGGAGGAATTTGGGGAAACGAGCTCTCTGGTCATCTGCTGTGGAGGGAACCCACGTGGCAGGATGTGAGTGGTTGAGGGGTGGGCTTTTGAATTGATGTTCCCCGAGCCGAGCCTTTGGCTTTTCTCCCCCTATCTCTCTCATCATAACCCCCGCTCCCTATGACCCCGGCGCCTTTTCCTACCCTCGCGCTCTCTCTCTACAACTATTCTTCGATTGCTGTTGCTGTGGTGGTGTTTGGAGAGAGAAAGCGTGGCAGCCGCCGAGCGCAGCGAGGGATCTCCTTCCTTCCGAGTTCCGACTCCGGAGTTCAGCCCCTCTCCTCTCGTCCCTATCTCTCTCAATCGCTTTCGCCCGAGTCGTTGTTGTCTCTCTATTTATTTTCCCATTTCTTGTTGTGCTGTGCCTTCCCACCTTTTCCTCCTCCCTCTATCTCTCTCCACCTTCCTCGTATCTCTCGTATTTCCGCCTTCCCCTGCATCCTTCCATGCCCTAATCTCCAATCCTTCGCCGTACGGTTCAATTCGGTCTTGAATCAGAATAACTAGACTTGTCTCCGTTTCGATCCGTTTGGAGGCTTGGTAAGGTCAGCCTCTCTTCTCTTATCTGTATTCGGCTTGTTTCCTCGTTTGTCCACTTGGGTCGGGATTATCTTTTTGTATGGGTAATCGGGTTCTTAAACACATGGGATGATGAGCTGCCGCCGCCGGGGGTGTTGAGTTCTGGTGGCTTTTCCATTCTGATTTTTGGTAGTTCGTTGATTAGTGTTGGCAATTGGGGGTCCTTTGGGTTGTGGCACATAGCTAGCATGCGGCGTTTTTATTGAAATGAGGGTTCTTTGAGGTCAATGCTTTGTGCCCTGGTCTTAAATTATTGAGTATGTTGCAAATTGTTATTGTTTTACGATTGGCCTTTGCATGGTTTTGGGAAGATGGTTCAATTGATTCATTTTTGTAGATGAGATTGGAGCTCCTCAAAAGCCAGCAGTTGCGGAATACAGTGTTTCATTTTGGTTAGCAGATAAGAGTGGTAATTGGGAGGATATTAGGCTCTTTTAGCTTCATGGGATTGTTTATCAGAGTTTGCATGTTGCTTAATCTGAAGAGCTATTTGTTTTTTATGTGCTTTAAATTTCAGTTGTCATGCATTTTTGAAATGCCAAAGTTGCTATGTATTATTTCATTCTTTGGTGCTGTATGGTGGAGCATTGTTTGACATAACCAGGTGGGAGAGTCTTTTTGCGTACGTTCAGTTTAGTAATCGAATAAGTCAATTTGAATTTGTGATGTTGGGTTGCTACACTGGAGGAAGAAGTACCGGAATGCAATATATTTTCTGTTGATGCCTTTTGACGAGGAGAATGTGTAGCTTACATTTTGTTTCTAGCTATGACATTACCTAGATCCTAAGTTATTGTAGTGTGACCAGCTATAGATGTTATTAACTTGGAGGTATAATCTTCTTAGGTCATACAAAAAAGTAACTATTATTGGTTACGCTATTTTCTTTTAGTGGCTGTTAATTTTGTTCTTGTTTGCAATGAGTTCGAATTTTGGCTATCATGCATTTGCAACTCTCTCAGTTGCTTGCTCTTATTTCATTCGTCAGCGTTGTGTGTGGAGCATTTATTTTGGTTTAATACAGGCTGATGGGTTATCTTGCTATACTTTGAGTTTAGTAGAATCAAGGAAGTCAACCAGAATCTCTGAAGTTGAATTGCTGCTTTGAAGGAATAGAACATAATCTAGTTCATTTGATGGAGTCTGTTATTGTGATGCTATTTCTCTTGTGGCTTTTGGATGATGAGAGTGCATTGCTTTTATTTATGTTTAGCTATTACATTGCACGGACCGTCAGTAATTAGAATGTGGCTAAACATTTGTTATATACATTATGAACTTGGTCGCTAGCTATGCATTTTGGATTCTTTTGTCCTATATGAATACCTTAAATCTGATAATGCCTGCGCATGGTTTGAAAACCCCACCTAGGATGAGATCCTGGATGCTTATATATAACAGTTATGAATGACATTGCCATATGCTATGATTTGGGTATAATGCTACAACTCCTCATCTGATAGTGCTGCTGTAGCTCATAGGCTATAGGAAAAAGTCACTTTTCTCTATTATTGATTTTTTTTTTGTCTTTACTGGTTCCTTGACAATGACTTAAAAATGCTGTTCTTGATAGCAGGCTGAGGTGGTTGCTGTTCTTGCAGACCTTGCATAGATGATGCAATTTCCCCCCCCAATCTACTATGCTTGTGGCAATTAAGTGCTGAATTTAAGAAGCAAAACTGAAGGATGAAGGACAGCAGTTCAAATACAAATAAAATCATTAACAGGAACTGGGTCTTGAAGCGCAAACGTAAAAAGCTACCTTTTGGACGCATTCTTGGTAAAGAAGAGAAGTCATTACCTCCTAATACTCCAGATGCTCCATCTGCAGCCAAACGGCAAGCAAGCAATGAGTTAGGTCTTGAGCAGTCTGTGTCCAAGAAGAAGGGAAATGATGGGGTCAGTTGCTATTTGTTCTCTTTAGCACTTTCTGTTTGTTGATGTGCAAGTTAACAGTTTTTATGTTTGCTAAGCCAATAAGTTAATTGTCTATGCTTCCATGTATGCAATGCATGCATGCATGCATGACTTCTCGCTTATAATACTTTGTTTTGCTTACTGGAGCACTTTCCTGTTTGACTTCTGGCAAGACATGCAATCTTCCGCTACATCCCTGATGTATTTGGTTTGTATCTGCATTTGAATTTCTTTAAGTTTGTCCTGTGTTTGATGCACACTTATTTCTGATGCCTTTCCTGTCGTGACATCTTGGGAAAGCAGGGTGGGTTTTATATACATTTAGGAAATGAGGAATCACTTCTAAACTTACTAGACATGCTATGCGTGTGGCCTTTGCAAATGTATTATATCTATTTATTGGTAAGAGAAATGGCAGGAAGTAGTGTTGAGTAAGGGTTTTTTCTCTCTGCTTGTAACTCATGGGCTTGACAACATGTTATTGTTCACTGACTGCTCCTCTTTGAACTGTCTTCTAGTACTACTATGAATGTGTCGTTTGCGATCTCGGTGGAAAATTACTCTGTTGCGAAAGCTGTCCCCGAGTATACCATATTCAATGCCTTGATCCACCCCTTAAGGTACTATACTTTGGTGTTATATAGTTGTGTTCCTTATAGTTTCCTGGTACTTATCTTCCCCAAAGAACCTATAGTTTACTTTATTTATGATATATTTTCTTGACGAAGTGTTTAATTGTTACATGAAGCGCATACCAATGGGCAAGTGGCAGTGTCCAAAATGCTTCCAAAAGAATGATCCACTCAAGGGCATCAGCCAGCTGGACTCCAATTCAAAGCGAGCAAGAACAAAGCTCATCACTACAAATTCTGGGGTCAAATCATCTGACGCTGACAAAGCGTCTCGGCTCCTTGGAAGCTCCACTTTGTCTAGACAAAGGGCTTCAAACAAAGGGAAGTCTGTTGTTATACTTGGAGCTAACTCACCGGATAAAGAACTAGATTCTTCCCTAGATGTATCTAATAGCAGCATGCTTGGCTGCACTGATGGTGTATCCCCTTTAGAGAATGCTGATGATGCTAAGAACCCTGATACGCCTGCAGCAGGGTTAGTTTCTAATAATAGTGCAGCTGCTGACAAGAGCACAACTGAAGTTGATAAGCCAGAGAGCAAATCGTCTTCTGAGAATGTTGATGATGCTATGCAAGCTGATGTGTCTTCACCAGCTTCAGTTGCAGATAGGAAGGCTGTTTCTGATCCCGAGGAACTTCTCTCTGATTCCCAGTTCAAACAATCAGATCCACATGATGATACCTGTGACAGCACACCTGACTCACATTATAGTGGGTCTTCTGATAAGCGAGTCGTTCTTGCTATTGGTGCTACTGCTGATAAAAACAGAAAGAGGAAGCTTGAGTTTAACGATGGAGACACTGTAAAGAAGCACAAGATTGGCAAAGGAAAGCGTTCATCTAAGAAATGTGTATCTATGAGCAATATTGCAGGACGTGGGACTACTAAATCACACCAGAAAAGAAAAAGCCTCGATCGTTTAGTTTCTGCTTCTTTGCCAGTTGGTGATGTCATAACTCGGAAAACAGACGCGACAAGCAATGATGAGGTGCTTATTTTCATTTAATAGTCGTAACTAGAGGCTCCATAAATATTGTTGCAAGCAATATATCTGATTTAGATAAGTTGCTGGTCAAAAGTACACCATGGCAGATGAGTTTGCATATTGGTTTGAAGTTCTTTTGGTTTTCCAGCTCATCTTCTTGTTTCGTTTAGGTTAACTTTATCTATCATGATATGAATAAACGTGAAAGGTATTTGCCTGATTTTTGGTAGACTAGTTTTAGCAAGGGCGACTGAGAAGTCGTATTCCTGTTGGTCACATATCCTGATATTTGTGAAGAGTTTCTCGACTGTCTCATGCACTTACAACATGCTATCCACAGAATGTTCCATGATTTTTGTTTCAGAGCATATTAACTCCAATCCGAGTCTTCTCTTTCATAGTAACTTTGTTGCATGTCAATGTTAAAGGTACATGAGAATGCTGTGTGTACGACAAACAAGTCAGATAAAGTGAGTGGTAGAATTGAAAGACAGACCTCTGAATATGGTTTTCTCCCTGAACTGCAGCAGGTAAAATTTCTTGTGTAGACAATTTACAAAATGACTCGCAATATATTAAGACTAGTTTTTTTCAGAGAAGGGATTTGTGTAAAATAGTAATGACCTTGAAGAGTTTCCTTGCATGAATCACAGGTTGATCGTGTTCTAGCATGTAGAATTCAAGGTGATTGTTCAATAATCTCTTCAACTCGTACATCTTTGATTGAAGCAGAGGACCTTCCATCCGATGTGATTGTTATGTCCGAGTCTCAAAACAAACTTGCAGATGCAATTTCATCCTGTGACATTGATCAAGATAAGGTAGCCGAGAATCTTCTTGTGGGTTCTCCTACCGCTGTAGGAGGTGCTAATACTGATGGAGAAAGTATAAAGAATGATAACAAAGTGTTGGGTGAGGATTTGTGTGGTACATTGACTCGGAAAGACTGTAAAAAAGAGGATGTTAAGGAGCCAGTGGAGACTGTTGGCACATATCTTGTTTCCACATGTATAAATGGTCAAGATAGGGATGAGTCTGCAGTAACCTCAGAGGACTTGGGGAATAAACTTGACAAGATGGCAGACAAAGATATTCATGCCTCCTCGGAAAGGCAGGATGCTATGGAAGTTGCTGAAGTGTGTGAATCACAAGTATCTCTTGAATCGAAGGACACCAGTAAGATGAATGCTGAAGTGAAAGTTAGTTGCAATGGCGAAACAAAAGTCCAAGAGCCATCCATGGTGGAAACTGTATCTCATAAGGGGGATGCAATAACATACGAATTCTTGGTTAAGTGGGTTGGGAAGTCCCATATACATAACTGTTGGATTTCTGAATCACGACTAAAGAGTCTTGCAAAGCGAAAACTAGAAAATTACAAGGCAAAATATGGAACAACTATAATGAATATCTGCGAGGAAAGGTGGAAGCAGCCTCAAAGAATACTTGCCCTGCGAGAATCTGGTGATGGTACACAAGAAGCTTTTGTGAAATGGACTGGCCTGCCTTATGATGAATGTACTTGGGAACAACTGGACGAACCTGTTCTTAAGTGTTCTTCCCATCTGATAGATATATTTCATCAGTTGGAATCGCAGACACGGGAAAAAGATAGCACAAGTCATGGTCCGACAAAGGGCAGGGGTGAGGTTATTACTCTTACGGAACAGCCAGAGGAACTCAAAGGAGGTGCTTTATTTCCCCATCAACTTGAAGCACTGAATTGGTTACGTAAATGCTGGTATAAATTTAAAAATGTGATACTTGCCGATGAGATGGGGCTTGGGAAAACAGTTTCTGCTTGTGCTTTCATCTCATCGTTGTATTTTGAGTTCAAAGCCAAGCTTCCTTGTTTGGTCTTGGTTCCACTGTCTACTATGCCTAACTGGCTTTCAGAGTTTTCTTTGTGGGCTCCAAATGTGAATGTTGTGGAATATCATGGGTGTGCAAAAGCAAGGGCTGTTATTCGCCAGTCCGAATGGCATGCAAGTTATCCTAATGAGGTTAATAAGAAAACCAATTCTTACAAGTTTCATGTGCTTTTGACCACTTATGAAATGGTTCTTGCTGATGCATCTCATTTGAGGGGAGTTCCTTGGGAAGTTCTTATTGTTGATGAGGGGCACCGTCTAAAGAACTCAGGAAGCAAGCTGTTCAACTTACTTAATTCTTTCTCTTTCCAACACCGTGTTTTATTGACTGGGACCCCTCTTCAGAATAATATTGGAGAGATGTACAATTTACTGAATTTCCTGCAGCCAGCTTCATTTCCTTCCTTGACTTCCTTTGAGGAGAATTTCAATGATCTTACAACTGCGGAGAAAGTGGACGAATTGAAGAAACTTGTTGCTCCACACATGCTTCGAAGACTCAAAAAGGATGCAATGCAAAATATCCCTCCGAAGACAGAACGGATGGTCCCAGTGGAGTTGTCTTCTATCCAGGCCGAGTACTACCGTGCAATGCTTACGAAGAATTATCAGGTACTAAGGAATATGGGAAAGGGGGTTCCACAGCAGTCAATGTTAAATATTGTGATGCAGTTGAGAAAGATTTGCAATCATCCTTATCTCATACCGGGAACTGAGCCTGATTCTGGATCAGTTGAATTTCTCCATGAAATGAGGATAAAAGCCTCTGCAAAGCTGACTCTTTTGCATTCAATGCTTAAGGCTCTATATAAGGAAGGCCATAGAGTGCTTATCTTTTCCCAGATGACCAGACTTCTTGATATACTTGAGGATTATTTGACGATAGAGTTTGGTCCAAAGACTTATGAGCGAGTTGATGGCTCTGTTTCTGTTTCTGATCGTCAAACTGCAATTGCACGATTCAACCAAGACAAAAGTCGATTCGTGTTCTTGTTGTCAACACGATCTTGTGGCCTTGGCATCAATTTAGCTACTGCTGACACAGTTATTATTTATGATTCTGATTTCAATCCACATGCTGATATCCAAGCAATGAACCGTGCACACCGTATTGGACAATCGAAAAGACTTCTAGTGTATAGGCTTGTTGTACGGGCCAGTGTTGAAGAGCGTATCTTGCAGCTGGCCAAAAAGAAGTTAATGCTTGATCAACTTTTTGTGAACAAGTCTGGATCTCAGAAGGAAGTGGAAGACATTCTACGATGGGGAACAGAAGAACTTTTCAGCGATTCTAATGGCACACATCTGAAAGAAAACCAAAGCAACAAAGATGAAATCATTGTCGATGTAGAGCAAAAGCAGAAAAAAAAAGGTGGTGGCCTGGGGGACGTATACCAGGATAAATGCACAGATGGTGGCAGCAAAATTATGTGGGATGATACTGCAATTTCAAAATTGCTTGATCGGTCAAATCTTCAAACAGGGCTAGCTAATGTCAGTGAAGGAGAATGTGAGAATGACATGCTTGGCTCAGTAAAGGTAATGTTTAATCCTTTTATAACTCAGCTTGGTGTGCTTAACCAAACCTTAATATGCTGAAAATATTGTTCTGCACAATTATAGATTAGGTTCTACAAACTCAATTCAGCTGGCACCTTTTAACCTTCAGGTTCTTCTTGGATCTGTCATTCCGGCTTTTGAAACTATTTTAGAAGTTGATTCTCTTCCATATTGACATTTTGGATTGTGCTAATCTAGCACATATGATTATCCTTTTTATTCTATTTTTATGTAGCTCCTCAAATCCTTTAATCGAATCTTTTGCATGCAATTGCTGCAAACCGTTTTTGGTTACTTCATCCGATTCATAGCAATTTTAGTAAAGAAATTATGGTCTGTTTGTCATGCAGTCTCTGGAATGGAATGATGAAACAGCAGAAGAGCCTGTAGCAGCAGAATCACCTATGCATCCTGCTGATGATGTTTTTGGAGAAAATCTTGAAAGAAAAGAGGAAAATCCAGTCAATAGCATCGAAGAAAACGAATGGGATAGGCTTTTGCGTGTGAGGTTAGGGTTTCTTCTTATGCTGGGTTTATCATGTGACTGGCCAGTACATGTTTCTAGTTCTTTCACAGTTTTAGAAGACTTGTGAAACATAATACTGGACTGTGCACAATTGTCTGATTCAATTTGGAGTTGATTCAAAAATCTATTCCTACCTGCATGCACTTGAAATAAACCTGAGAGATAAAGCTTTCTTATGTTTGGGACTTGTAGCATATCAATCGCTGAGTTCACTTTAGTTACTGGTATTTTAGATTTTATTCTACTCTGGTGATTTCACTCATCAAATTTTTTTTTTTTTAACTCTGTTGTTCGGAAAGATAGCTTGGAAGTGTTCTTATGTAATAAATCTGCAATGTTAGATGGGAGAAGTATCAAAGTGAGGAGGAAGCAGCTCTTGGTCGAGGGAAACGTCAGAGAAAATCTGTTTCCTACCGGGAAGCTTATGCTCCCCACCCAAGTGAAGCTCTGAGCGAGGTAATTTGCAGTTTCCTACAAGTAAAGAAATGCATACTTATCAGTAATTCCTACCCAATTCAATTATGTCAAAGGAACCAGCCATCTTGCTGGAATCTAACAGCTGTAATCCCTTATCTATACTTAATATGTTCATGAAAGCAGAGTGGTGGTGAAGAGGGGCGGGAGCCAGAACCAGACCGAGGATACACGCCAGCCGGACGAGCTTTAAAGGAGAAGTTGTAAGTGGCAATATGATCTTTTTAATTTATCTAAAATTAGTGTCGACATTTTATACATGATCTCTAAACACCTTGGCACTTGCTTCAATCTGTTGTGCAATCCGGATTTGGTGGTGTGAATAAACTTGGATTATCTTGATCAGAAGTAGGAATAGGTGTTACTGCAAAGATCCAAGTTAATTCTTTCAATTTACGTAGATATAGAAACCATTAGGCATCCAAATGTAAGTTCAGAGGAAAATGTAGGCTTGACAAGGGCAAGTGATGTTGATGTATGACATGGTTTGTAAATTGAAGAAAGTTCTTGAATTGCAGCATGAACGCCTCACCTGTTTTCTTAAAATTATAACTTGGAAAAATTTATATTTGTATTTGGCAGTGCTAAGCTGCGTGCGAGACAAAAGGAGAGGCTTGCTCAAAGGAATATTATTGAAGACTCTGATCCTAATGGTGAAGTTCCAGTACCAGAATGTCCCCCCACCAGTGTCTCGGCCAATGGCCAAGTGAAGGATGAACTAATGGGTGAGAGGTCTTCAGCAATTGATTTGGAGGATGACAAATTTGTTCAGCAATTAGATGCTCTGAATAGCAAGCCTGACTCAACTTTAAGGCTGGGCCAATCTAATAATCCTAAAATTGACTATCATCTGAATCCTTCTGTTAATTCCCTTGGTTCCTCCCGTTCTGCAGACACTGTTGCTCCAAACCACCAAATCCAGGGAACAGGCTACACAGATTATCTTCCCTCTGATAATTTATTGCCAGTGCTCGGATTATGTGCTCCTAATGCCAGTCAATTAGAGTCATCTCGTAGAAATTTATCAAGATCCAATGGCAGACACAGCAAGCTGGGTACTAGACCTGAATTTCCTTTCACTCTACCTCCTACTGGAGCTTCCATGGAGGCTGATGGAGGTCTTTCACAATTTTCTAAAAATGGTTTGCCTGATGGTTGGCTCCCGTTTCCGGTACAGCATCTTTATTCCTTATATTATGGCAGCTGGATTCCCCGGTGTTCATCCATTTTCCCATTTCTAATGTTATGTGTTTTTGCAGTGTCCTCCATCTTTTCCGCTAGGAAAAATGGCCGAGAGCTCTGGTTCCAGCTTTGCTGATTTCAGGGAAAAAATGTCACTTCCAAAGTTGCCATTTGATGAGAAGATGCTACCTCGATTCCCTCTTCCTACAAAGATGCCCCACCCTGATTTATTGCCTAACTTGTCACTGGGTGGCAGACTGGATGCAACAAATGACTCTATGAGGGATCTTCCTGCAATGCCATTTTTACCCAATTTGAAGATCCCTCAAGATGTTCAAAGATACAGTCAGCTAGAGAATGAGGTGCCTCCTAACCTTGGTTTGGGTCAGATGCCATTAAACTATCCTTCATTCCCTGAAAACCACAGAAAGGTGCTTGAAAACATACTGATGAGGACAGGATCTGTACCAAGTGCCATGTATCGGAAGAAATCAAGAATAGATGGGTGGTCTGAAGACGAACTGGATTCTCTATGGATTGGTGTTCGTAGATATGGAAGGGGCAATTGGGATTCAATGCTCAAAGACCCTAGACTAAAATTATCAAAGCATAAATTGCCTGAGGATTTAGCAGCTAGGTGGGAGGAAGAACAACTAAAGATCTTAGACGCACCAACCTTTCCAGCACCACCTAAGACAGTAAAGTCTGCAAAGTCTTCCAAATCGCCCATGTATCCAAGCATCCCTGAAGGAATGATGGCTAGGGCATTACATGGAAGCAGGTTTGTGGCACCACCAAAGTTCCCTGGTCATATGACAGACATGAAACTAGGGTTCGGCGATCCATCTTCAGGCCTGGCACATCCTGACCCGTCATCCAATCATCCACTTCGGTTTCAGAGGGAGCAGCATCTTGGCCCTCTTCCAGTATTCAACCATGAGAAGTTTCGGTCAAAGTTTGGCGGTGGAGATTCTTCTGCTGGACCTTCCTCTACAAACGAGAAGCCATTTTTGCTCGATTCTTTTGGAGCAAGCAACTTGGGCGCATTAGGTTCGAGTTACCTGGGCACCTTGGACGTACAGAGAAGAGAGGAGGAGCTTGCTGCGATGAAGTACAGGAACTCACCTAACCTTCTTGATAGGTCATTCCGAGATGTCCACGGTAACTTAGGAGGTGGTGGTGAATTAAGCTTTCCAGCAATGTCCACTGACCCCAACATGCGTCGCTATTCAAAGGGCAAAGAGGTAGTTGGAAGTGGTCCTTCAGAGAACAAGTTGCCACATTGGCTGAGGGAAGCTGTTACTGCTCCTCCTGCCAAATTGCAGGAGCCTGATCTACCCCCTACAGTGTCGGCTATAGCTCAATCAGTTCGATTGCTCTATGGAGAAGAGAAGTCCACAATTCCTCCATTTGTCATACCTGGTCCACCTCCTTCACAACCAAAGGATCCCAGACGAGCTCTAAGGAAGAGGAAGAAGAAGACAAGACCCAATCTACCGGTTCCATTCTCTGATTCTTTTGCTCAGCCCAATCTTCCGCTTCTTCCGCCATTGAATCCCGGGACATCAGGCCTTCCCTGGAATGGATCTGGTGTACAGGGGTTATTGGCACCAACCCCATGCTTAAACCGGGAGAAGAAAACAAACATGGGATTGTCCCCGTCTCCAGAAGTGCTTCAATTGGTAGCTTCTTGTGTTGCTTCAAGTGCCCCACCTGTAGGCCCTGGTTCCGGAATGATAAGCTCAACAAGTGTGCCACCCGAGAGCATGCCGTCGATTCCAAACTCTGCAGATCAAGTTGAAAGCTTGGATAATCACAGTTCGCCCTTGAATACAGAACAAGGAACCGTAGCAGAGGAGAGGCAAGACGATGAATGCAGTAAACAAGGTGATAGTAGTGGTGAATCTGGCAAGATGCAGCAATCTGCCCCTTGTGAGATTGAAAAGCATGATCCTCCAGAGAAGGGCACTTTGTCAGAAGGAACGGTGTCATCGGAAGGAACGCTCTCTGATGAACCCATGACCGACGATCATGAGCCGCAGCAGCTATAGGGGAAAAAACATACGGTGTACTGTTGTCATTCTTTACACCATCCATATTCTTTTTTTCTTCTTTTTTTTTTTCTTGCTGCTGGTGGTGGTGGGGTTGCAGGGCTAATTAAGTAAGGGGAGATGTGCTCGAATTTTTGTAGGATTGATGATGGGTGGCAAGTAGGGAGTGATGCTATAGGATCCATTTTAGGACAAGGTTTTGTATTGTAAATTGTATGAGATTGGAAATATATATAGTATAAGGGGGGTATCCCTGTTTGGTACTTGTATGACAACTTTCGATTTTAGATTTTTTGTAAGTTGAAAGTGTTGCCTGTTGCTGTTGAAGTCAGGTTTTCTTTCAATTGCAGCATATGATTCTGGTGAAGATGCCGGAGCTAAAGAGTCAGCCCAAGTCATATTCATTTTGTAAAATCCAAAAGCTTGAGTTGTACAGGTTGATCCACTTTCATATGATTCTTTTAGGATACAAATCTATGTAACTTTGCTTGCTTGCGCACTCACTCTGCCTAATCTGCGTAGCAGCAGTGAGTGAAAAGTGACACCTCAACAACACAATCATCGTACATAACATCTTTAATTATACTAGTTTTTTGGCCGTGCTTCGCAAAATCTAATTATATTTAAAATTTCATCCACTTATTGAATAATTTACATAGTATCTTAATTTTTACGAAATAAAAATATAATTTATGAAAATGTTATAGAACGATGCTACTAAAATCTTTTGAAATATATGGTCTAATAATAAAATCAAATTATGAAAATTATCACACTTGATTAAACGGTTATGTAACAGTTAAAATGATATTACCGACCATCCATGTGATACAAATTGATTAAAATACTAATATTTAGTTAATAATTAAATAATTAAGTTATAAAACTATCACATTTGATTAAGTTTACAAAATCTCATGTACTCTAAGTTGATGAGATTGTCAATAGCTTAGTTATTAATAAAAGAATTTTCGTTCAAACTTATAATACGGAAAACTTATGAAATATATTTTTTTAATTTATATATATATATATAGCAAATATATATTCATAAATTTGACTGATGCATAAGAATAGATATCTCTCCATAGTATTTATGTAATATATTCATTATTACCGTGAATAGTCTAGAATGGTGTTATATATATCTTTCATGACATGTGGTGTAATAAAAAAGTTATAATAGTTATGTATAGCGTTGTACCGCTGTGCTATTATACCATAACCATTTTTAATACTCTTATCCATTAATATCATTTATAGTCCATGAATGACCATAAATCCATATATCTCCATAATATTTATGTAATGTATTTATATTTACGTGAATATACTAGAATGGTGTTACATATATCTGTCATAATGTGTGGGTCTAATAAAAAAAATGTTCTGATAGTTATCTATCGCGTTGTCCAAAAAATTAATTACCTCAAGAGATGGACAGCTCAATGCTCTGAAATGCTCTGTACGAATAACTCTGCGCAAGTAACTCCGGCGTCCTTCTCCGCCCCGACGGGAAGGCCTCCGGACGATCGACACTCGGACACCGACTCCCCGCCACAGGCTGGATCAATGGAAACGGCTAGCAAACCCCTCGGAACGGAAACTGCTGGCGATATGGTTATGGACGAGGCCCTGGCAACTGACACCCAACCGGCGACGACTCGGACAACGAATGGAGAGACAACTGCAGGTATGGACCTAGGTAATCCTCTAAGTTCAATTGGAGGCGGGACTCCGAGCATTCCTATCAGGAACCCTCAATCATCTCAACCGGTCTCGTATGCCGGGGCGCTAGCAGGGGGGATGAATCTCCCAAAACCCTCTGGGGTACAATGGGTTCCCATGGGCGAACACGATCTGATCATAGGCTCTTTTCAAGGTGAACCGGAGCTGAAGATTTCGGAGAAGTTCAAATCTCAACTTAGTAAGCCGTGGCAGAGAACTCTGGTTGTGCGGCTTCTAGGGAGGACCATTGGATACGCCGCTCTGTGTAACAGGATCCGCATCCTTTGGCGACCGACTAGCGCTCTGGAAATCTTCGCTCTGGATGATGATTGTTTTCTGATCAAACTTGGGAACGATGTGGATTATTTTAAGGCGCTTACCGAGGGCCCCTGGATCATCTTTGATCACTACCTCCTAGTTCAGCAGTGGACGCCGGAATTTCGAGTCACGGACAGCCTTCCTAAAACCATGGTGGTCTGGGTTCAGTTTCCCGGTCTACCGGTGCACTTCTATCATAAGGAACTCCTTTTCACTATGGACAATCTCCTAGGAAGATCCATTAAGCTTGATTACCACACTCAAAATCAGCAACGGGCAAAGTTTGCACGGATGGCCGTTGAAGTTGATTTATCGAAACCTTTGGTCCCAAGAATCAGGCTTGATGATCGGTGGCAGAGAGTTGAATATGAGAATCTCCCTGTTGTCTGCTTCGAGTGTGGGAAGGTCGGGCATACGAACGTCTCTTGCCCTACCTTAGATCGACGACCAAGCGGTGAAGTTGACGGAGGATCTATGTCATCGGCGGTGATCGTGGCCGGCGATACCACGCCGGAAGCCAGTGCCGGATTTGGACCGTGGATGATTGTCTCGCGAAAATCATGGCGAAATCATAAGGAGGCGACCACAAAAGGTAAGGAGGAACAAATGTTGGTGATCACCAACGGGTCGAAGAAAGAAGAGGAAAGGAAAGAGGGCGTAATCGGTGAGAAATTTTCATCGCAAGACTCGGGGAAATCTCAACAAAAGCAAAGGCAACAGACAGGGGAGAAACGGGCGGCGAAAACAGAGGGAAAAGGTAAAGGGGGCTCAAAAGGGAAAGGGAAGATGACGGAAGAAGTAGGGCAAGCTGAAAAGGGCCTCATTGGCCCAAAACCCAATTTGATGGAAGCCTCTACTAGCAGGCCTCTACTAGCAGGCCTCATTACAGTCCCAAAAAGACTAACTCCACACAGAGTCTCGACATGGGCTCGAAACTGGCTGGGAATGGGCCGAGTGCGAGTGAAGGGAAGGAATCTGGGTCGGCCACATCAACCGGGCCAACAACCCAAACGGTTGCTGGTGAGAATGGCACTAGGATGGTTATTATTGAGACACAGCCGTATCAGCCACCTGCTCCTCGTCTCGCAAATCCAGAGACGCCGTCGGCGGTATCCAGAACAAAGTCGAAGAAGGAAGGATGAGGTAGGGGAGCTAATAAGGCGGCGACACCAAGGAAAGCCACCCCGATCCGACACAATCCCCTTAAGCCAATGCAAATTTGGTCTCCGGTGAAAGAAAAGAAGGGTCGGAACAAGGAGAAGCGTGTTTCTTTGACATTGCAACAAATCAAAGAATGGACAGAGACAGCAAAACCGAAGGCGGTGGCGGAGGTCGGTCCAGGGAGCAAGGACGAAACGGAGAAGATGGCTTTGGAAATAATTGGGAACGAAAGCAGCTCGGCTGCCCCTGTCCTCTGATTCCCAGTGCTCTTCTTTCCCTGCGCTTTCTTTCTCTTTTCTTTTCTTTTCCTGATTATGTCTATGTCTATTAATTCCGATTTGGAGGTTAAAATTTTTTCCTGGAATGTCGGTGGAGCTGGCAGTAATGCCTTTTCTCGCTCTTTGAAGCTTGCCCTCCAGCTCCACAAGCCGGATTTTGTTATTCTTATTGAGCCGCAGATCAGCGGTGAGAATACTAATAGAGTCTGCGATAAGTTAGGTTACCCGGATGTTATCAGGGTCGAGGCTAATGGTAGAAGCGGTGGTATTTGGTTCTTTTGGAATGACAAGAAGTTTGATGTTTCTGTTGATTCTGCAGGTTTCCAACACCTAACCCTCTCGGTCTCGAAAGGAAATAGTCGTAGCTGGAAGCTCACTGCTATGTATGCCTCGCCTAGGCAGCAGCTGCAGAAACTTCTCTGGAGCTATCTCATTGAGCAGAGCAAAGTCATTGACTGCCCTTGTCTCCTAATGGGTGATTTCAATGCCATTGTGTCACCCTCAGAGACAACCGGACAAGCTACTCCAAGGGTTTTGCGTCGCTGCAAGAGATTTAGTGATTGGCTCAATGAGGCGGAGTTAGTGGACCTTGGTTTTTCAGGGCCGCAACATACTTGGTGCAGGGGAGGGCAGGTGAAAACGTTCAGAGCTAGTAGATTGGACAGGAGCCTCTGTAACATCAACTGGAATGATGCCTTTCCAAACACTTCGGTGGTTCACTTGGCAAGGATTAGCTCGGACCATAACCCAATTCTGACTACGGTGGTGAGACAGGGAGGGATCCATCCTTCGCCGATGCGCTTCAGATTTGAAGCTGCTTGGCTTACGCACTCTGATTTTCACAATTTCCTTACTGATAAGTGGAGTGGACAGATTAATAATTTCCCTTTGGCTTTGCAGGAACTTTCTGATTGCTTGAAAACCTGGAGTAAACAAGTATTTGGCAATGTTTTCAACGCAAGAAACGGTTGGTGGCGAGGATTGAAGGCACTGAGAGGAAGTTAGCAGTCTCTTTCCAGCCTGGTTTGGCCAAACTTCATGCCAAGCTCGAAGCGGAGTTAGACAGAACCCTGGAACAGGAGGAGCTGTACTGGTATCAAAGGGCCCAGGAAAATTGGGTGAAATTTGGAGAAAGGAACACGGCTTACTTTCACCAAATGGCGAACTTTCGACGTCGGCTAAACAAGATCGAGTGCCTGAAGAATGAGAATGGGGAGTGGGTGCAGGATAAACAAGAGCTGGCGAAGCTTGTCTTCGATTTCTTTTCTAACCTGTACTTGCAGGAGGCGTCCCAATACACTGACCTCATGACCTAGGGGGACTTCCCTCGAATTAGACAGGAGGACTGGCTTTGTGTTCTGCGCCCTTTTTTGATTATGGATATTAATCAAGATGTCTTTGATATGAAACCTATGCAGGCTCCAGGTCCAGATTGCTTTCAAGCAGTGTTCTATCAACAGGAGTGGCGAGTTGTTGGAAAGGCTCTCACGGACATGGCTTTATCCTTTTTCGAGAGTGGGAGCTTGCCCGAGGCCATCTCGGAGTCCACGGTTGTTCTCATCCCCAAAGTTGAGAAGCCGGAATTTGTTCATCAACTCCGTCCCATTTCTCTGAATAATGTCAGTTTGAAGGCTATCACAAAGGCTATGACGAGCAGACTGAAAGTGATCATGAAGAAGCTGGTTTCTCCTCGCCAAAGCAGTTTCATTCCGGGGCGACAAACCTCAGATAATATCTTCGCCGTCCAAGAGGTGCTGCATTCCCTGAAAAAGAAAAGAGGGAAGAAGGGTGGCATGGTGATCAAGATTGATCTAGAGAAAGCCTATGACAGGCTTCGATGGGACTTCCTGAGAGATACTCTGGTGGAAGTTGGCCTCCCTAGCTCTTGGATTCGTTGCATCATGTTTTGTGTTGAACAAAACCGTATGAGAATCCTTTGGGATGGCAAGCTAACCCAGGACATTACCCCCACGAGGGGAGTACGACAGGGAGACCCTCTTTCCCATTATCTTTTTGTTCTTTGTATGGAGCGCCTTTCTCACATAATTGACCAGGCCGTCCGTGATAGGCTTTGGAAACCTCTAAGCATAGCGCAGGGCGGGCCGGCTCTTACCCACCTTTTCTTTGCCGATGATTTGATTCTTTTTACAGGTGCGGAAGGAGCACAAGTTAGGATAGTCCGCCAATATCTTGACGAGTTCTGTGAGAGCTCTGGGCAGAAAGTGAACTACTCGAAGTCCATGATGTACATCTCGCCAAATATTTGCCCGCGGCGTGCGCAGAGGCTGAGTGACAAGGCTGCCATACCATTGACTAAGGCGCTGGGACGGTACCTGGGGATTCAAACCATCCATGGCAGGGTCACTAGGAGCATATATCAGGAGCTGATTTTGAAGATACAAAGGAAGCTGGCACCTTGGAAGGCGAAGCGGCTATCTCTAGCTGCGAGGCTGACAGTCGCTCGATCTATATCCTTGGCTATCCCTACCTACACTATGCAAACTGAAATGATTCGTGTGAATGTTTGTAATACCATCGACAAGATTAACAGAGATTTCATTTGGGGCAAGGAGCAGAATCAGGGAAAAATGCACCTGGTGGCGTGGGAGAAGTTAGCAGAACCGAGAACGCAAGGAGGAGGAGGACTCCGACCCCTTCGGCAGGCCAACCTAGCGCTGTTAGCTAAAGGAGGATGACGTATCCTGAAAGAAAAAGTTACCCTCTGGACTCAAATCATGAGGGCTAAGTATGGTGGAATGAGGAAGGATCTGAACCATTTCCGTCATTGTCAGGGAAGTTCATTTGCTTGGTCTAGTATTAATAAAGAGGCTAGCCTCTTGAAACAAGGGTGCGCGTGGAACATTCATAATGGGAAAAACACTAAGTTTTGGTTGGATAATTGGATTTTGCAGGGTCCGCTTATTGAGACTGCTATCCAACCTGTTCCCGAGGAGGAGCGATCGAGGACAGTGGCCTCCTATATGAGTGTTAATGGTAGCTGGGATATTTCTCATCTCTCCCAGTGGCTCTCAGCAGACATCCTTCAGAAGATCGCTGCTGTTATGGTTGATCCCTTGTCCCTGGAGGAAGACCAAATCTTTAGGAAGGCCTCAGCTGATGGGAGGTTCACGACAAAAGACGACGTACCAATTGACTCAGCCCGGCCAGATGGAGCAGAGTGACCCGATCTGGAAGATCATTTGGAGGCTTCCAATCCCTGAACGGGTCAGATGCTTTACCTGGCTTGTTTCCCTTGGTCG